TGTTGCTGGTGAACTTTTTCTCTCATTCTGTGGGTTTTCTCTTTACTGCCTTGGTTGCTTCTTTTGATGTACAGAAGCTTTTTAATTTAATGAGGTCCTATTTGTTGATTCTTGACCTTGTTTCCCGAGCAATTGATGTCCAGTTTAGAAAATCCTTTCCTACACCTATATCTTGTAGGTTTTTCCCAATGTTTTCTTCTAACAGTTTCAGAGTTTCAGGCTTCACATTGAGGTCTTTGATCCATTTGGAGTTGACTTTTGTGCAAGGTGAAAGATAGGGGCTTAGTCTCATTCTTCTACAGGTGGAGATCCAGTTTTGCCAGCACTATTTGCTGAACATGCTGTCTTTCCTCCAGTAAATGCTCTTGGCCCCTTTGTCAAATATGAGGTGGCTGAAATTGCATGTACTCATATATGGGTCTTCAATTTTGCTCCATTGATTTATGGGTCTATTTCTGCACAAGTACCATGTTGTTTTTATGACTATAACTCTGTAATACAGTTTAAAATCTGGTATAGTAATCCTGCCAGCATTGCTCTTAGTGCTCAGGGTTGCTTTGGCTATCTGAGGTCTTTTGTGCTTCCATAAGAATCTTAGGATTTTTTTTCCAATCCTGTGAAGAATGTAATGGGGATTTTGACTAGCATTGCATTGAATTTATAAATGGCTTTTGGTAGGATGATTATTTTCACAATATTAATTCTTCCAATCCATGAGCATGGGAGGTCCTTCCATCTTCTGATGTCTTCCTCAATCTCTTTCTTTAAAGATTTAAAATTTTCATTTTAGATGTCTTTAATGTCTTTGCTCAGTCTTATTCTGAGATTTTTTTTTTTGCCACTATTATGAAAGTGAGTGTTTCCATGTACTCTTTCTCTGATTGCTTGTTATTGCTATATAGAAAGGCTACAGACTTTTGTAGATCAGTTTTGTAACCTGCCACTACTGAACATGTTAATAATTTCTAAGAGTTTTCTAGTGGAATTTTTGGTATCTCTTAGGCATAATATCATATCGTCTGCAAAAAAGGATAATTTGATCTCTTCTTTGATCTCTTCTCTTCCTTTTATGTCCTTCTCTTAGGGTTTCTTCCAGTGTTGGTTTTAAGCTTTATTGCATTGTGTTCTGATAGAATGCATGGAATTAGGTCAATCTTTCATATTTGCTGAGGCTTGTTTTGTACCCATGTATATGCTCAATTTTGGAGAAAGTTCTATGGGGTGCTGAATTGAAAGTATAGTCTGTGGTTCTTGGGTCAAATATTTGGTAGATGTCTCTTAGGCCCTTTTGATGTATGGTATTGTTTAATTCAGATGTCTTTCTGCTAATTCTCTCCTGTTGACCTATCTAATGGAGACAATGGGGTATTGAAGTCCCCCACTATTAAAGAGTTGGGATTAATCTAGGTGCTAAAGTCCTGTAGTATTGTTTTTATGAAGTTGGGTGCTCCAGCGTTTGGTGAATATGTTTATATACCATTCTCTGGGTATATTTTTTTACCATCCTTTCACCTTAAGGTAGTGCCTGTCCTTGAAAGTGAGATGAGTTTCTTGCAGACAACAAAACGATGGGTTTTGTTTCTTAATCCATTCAGCTAGTCTGTGTCTTTTGACTTGGGAGTTCAGTCCATTGATTTTTAAAGTTATTAATGAAAGATGTATATTGATTCCTGTCATTTTTATTTCTGTTCACATTCTTGGTATAGCTGTGCATTTCCACAGTCATATCTTCATTGAATTTCTTTCTGTAACCCCTTGGGTATAGTTGTTCCTTTCTTCAGCTCTTCGTAGTGCTTCAAGAACTCTCTGAAGGGCTGGTTTTGCGGACATGAAATCTTTCAGCCTATTTATGTCATGGAAGATTTTTCTTTCCCCTTCGACTATAATAGACATTTTGGCTGGGAATACATTGGTCCAAGCTCTTCTGGCTTTCATAGTTTGCACTGAAAAGTCAACTACAGTTGATGGGTTTTCCTTTATATGTGACTTGTTGTTTTTCTTTTGCAGCTTTCAGTATTCTCTCTTTGTTCTGTATGTTTAGTGTTTTTACTATGATGTGCCGTGGAGAGTTTCTCTTCTGGTCCTGTCTGTTTGGTGTTCTATATGCTTCTTGTATTTGTATGGGCATATCTTTCTTTAATTTGGGGAAATTTTCTTCTATAATCCTGTTGAAGATCTGGTCCATACCATTATCCCGAGATTCTTCTCTTTCCTCTGTGCCTATGATTTGTAAGCTTGTTCTTTTTATGGTGTCACACAATTCCTGCATTTTACATTCTTGTGTTTTCTTAAATTTTTCATAATCTTTGCTTGAGTGGTCTAATTCTTCCATTTTATCTTCCAGTCTTAATATTCCGTTTTCCATTTCATTTGTCCTATTGGTGAGGCTTTCTCCTGTCGTTTCTAATTGACTTACTGAGTGTTTCACTTCCTTCTTCATTTCAGCCTGAGTATTCTTCAATATTTCTAACTCTTTTCTGAATTCATTCAGAAGTTTATCCCTACCTTCTTTCATTTATTTGGTTTATTTGTGTGTTCTTTAAATTCACTGAATTCTTTTTATCATGTTTATTATTGTTCTTTTGAGTTCCATGTCCTGTGTTATCTCTAGGGGGTTCTCATTGTATTCCTCTAGAGGACTGTTGGTACTTGGTGGGGATATATTAGTTTGGTTTTTCACGTTATTATTTTTTTCTCTGTGACTTTGACATGTGGATTTCTTTTGTAGTTTCTGATTCTTGTGTGAGACACAAGCCTTCCTTTGTGGAGTTTAGATCTGCTTCTTTTTGTAAACTTTATGTGCCTTTGTGGTTTACTTGTTGAGCTGAAAAGCTGGTCTAGGCTTCAGGTTCTCTCTTTTGATTTTATATTGGAGTGACAAAATCATGTTCATTTTCAGGAGTTCCCACAGAGGCCCAAGTCAGGTGAGGATCAGATGCTCTCAGGCTTTCTCCTAAGGTCTGGATCCCTCCAGGAAAGATGTTGCCCTCAGGAATTTGGGGGCTCTGCTGGCCTGGGAGCAGGGCCCAGTAAAGATGCTGGCCCCAGGAAGCTGTGGAGCTGGGCTGCCCAGGAATGCAAAGGGAGGTGGGGATGGGACCAGGCCCAGAGGGCTCCTGGGAACTGCAGGAAGGAATTGGGTTGGTCTGGATGCAAAGGATCAGGAAGCAGTGGGGATTCTGGGCCAAGAGTTCAGTCCAGGTGTTTGGGGTGCCAGGACAAAAATGGGCCAGTACCCAGGCTAGGAGGAGAGATGGGGTGGGGGTGCTGGGAGGGTGAATGAGGCTGGGGGAGTCAAGATGCAGTGGGTGCCACGGGACTTACCCAGGAATGATGCTGGCACCAGGAAGCTGGTGGCTGTGCCACCCAGGGATGCAAAGGGAGGTGGTGGTAGGCTCAGCAAGCTTTCTTATATAGGACGGGACCACCTGCCTAGGGATGGTTCTGCCCATAGTGGGCTGGGCCCTCCTGCATCAATTAGCAATCAAGACAATGCCCCACAGACACCCCCACAGGCTAGTCTCATCAGGCAATTTTTCAATTGAAGTTCTTTCTTCCCAGGTGACTCTAGGTTGTTTTAAGTTGGCAATAAAAAACTAACCAGAACACACACACAGACACAGACACACAGACACACAGACACACAGACACAGACAATAACACACACACACACACACTCAAACATGCCCACACACACCTCCCCTACTGCTATACCCACATGGCTGTTTGGAGAGAAAGGTTTACAGTGTTCCTTTTTGAAGGCCAGAGAGGAAGATTGGAATTATAGCCTTTGCCCTCATTCCAAAAGAAGCTGAGTGACTAAGGTGACTTGGAATATACCCAGAATGATTCTTCTGAGAGGAACTCAATGGTCCTGGCTGTGTCCCTGGGGCTGAAGCAGGACTTTAGTGAAGCAACAGGTGGGGTGTCCTTGACATGAGCTCATTTGAGGGTATCCTCTATGACACTTGGGTGTCCCTGTAACCATCCTGGGAGGCAACTTTAAAGGGACAAAGGAATCCCTAGGCTAACATCAATGCCCTGTGGTGGGGAAGAGGACAACACCAAGACCCCACTGAGACTTGTGTTACTAGACGTCCAGGTACCTTGTTTCAGGTCACACTATGATGTTTCCCCTGGACCATCATGTGGGAAAGTAGCTAAGGAAATGAGTTCTGCCTGCCATGGCTTCTCTAAAATGTGGCTCAAGATTTTCATGCTGAGCAAACTTCATTTCCTAGTATACCAACCTGCTTACTACTGCTCCAGAGGCACCACACAAGCATGCACACCACAGACACAAATGCACACTGCAGATATGCCTGTATACCACAGACACACATACACACCACTGACACACATGTACACCACAGACACCAAACACGACAGACACACATGCAGCCTACACATACCACATAACATAGCACACATATATTACATATATAAGACATATCACATCATACATATGTCACCTATATATCCCCCCACCACAGACATACACAAACACATAAGATAATGTACATACCTGCTCACACAGACACTCATATCAATTCACATACATTCATATACTGTCCACACACACACAGAGACACAAATATGTCACACAAACACACAACATCCCGGGCAAAGCCTTGTGGAGAGAGAGAATGCTAGCTCTCCTCCTGAATAGGCTCTGCCTGGGACCTCTCATCACCTGTTTCCAGAGAGATCTACTGACTTTCCATGAAATCCTGGGAGACAAAGGGGCCCTTACATTTATTGATTTATTTTGTGTATCTATGAATCTGCATGTGTGTCATGGCATGTGTATGAAGACAGAGGACAATTTAGGGGAGTCTGTTCTCTCCTTCCATGTGAATTCCAGAGGTGAAACACAGGTCATCAGGTTTGGTGGTAACTGACTTCACCCACTGAGATATCTTGCTGGCTTCTGTTAAATTTTGTTTGTGACTCCTGGTGATGGCTTGTGGATGTATCTAATTTTCATTTTTCTCTTCCAGGGTCAGAAAGCTTGGATAGAGAAAACCTTTTGTAAACGGGAATGCATCTTTGTAATTCCCAGTACAAAAGACCCTAACAGGTACGTAGGATGCTACCACCGAGGCACTGTCCCAGTCAGATCTTGTTTAACAGTTGCCCATGCAAATGTTCTTAAGTGTCTGTGGGAGAAGGGAGTGGAGGCAAGGATCTGTTCCCCACAGGTGCCATAGACAAGGAATCTTGGGGTTAATAAACTTCTCTGTTAAGATGCAAATAGCTTGGAAAGAGTTTCTATCTGTAGCTCTCTACTGAGACCACTCCCAGTCAGATGGGCCTGCAGTATTCCTTAGTCTTAATGAGATCAAGGACCTAAGATCTTTAGATAGATGCTCAGGATATCTTCTGGGACCTCTTCAGTTGACTTTCCTAATTTATTTAGATGAAAAGGAATTTCTGTCACAGGAAAGATTCAAGTAGTTGGGAGAACTGGCTGCAACTTCATTAAAGGGCTTCCCTTGTGCACAAAATACCTGACAAAGTCATTCACCTCCATAAAAATGAGGCTGAGTTTGGAGGGTGGGGGGATGGCTTATTGACAGGGTGACCCTGAAATCCATGTGGGTTTCCCAGATTCATGGCATCACATAGTTCAAGCTTACTTGGCATGTGCAATGCCAATGCTGCACATCCTCAAGTTCCCTGTTCCTCTCCTCACCTGAACCCCAGTGTCATTTTCCAAAATATGAAATGCCATACCAGAAAACTGCAGTGTAAAATCTTCTTAGGTGCACTTAAATGTCCCTCCTTATTCCATTGGCACACAGTCCCTACCCCTTTGGTAGCCCTCCTTATCACCTGCCAGCCCTACAGTCCCCACACAGCCAGGTAACCAGGCAACACATGGGTAGAAGAATTTCAGGATCTACACCCGGGCCTTCTCTGTGAGCTCCATGAATTCTCTGAGTTAGGATGAGAAGCTAATGCCCTTGAAATGGTCTTAAAGGCTTGCATTAAATAAAGAAATAGTTATTCAAGAAAAACTACTAAAATTCAGCAAGAAAGAACAGACTCTGAAATTTAAGCCAACAGTGCTCCTTCTCCCCTTGGCCTCCCAATCAGAGGCTTTCCCCAGAGAAGAATGGATGTCAACATTTCCTGTTTTATCTCTAGTTAGCTCTGGTATGGCTCAGTGCTGAGAGAGTACAGACAGAAGGAGAACTTCTGTCTACATAGCTCCTACTTATACAAGTAGCAGCCACAGAAAGTAGAAGGAAGCAGTTGGGGTGGGGATGTTGCTCAGTTGGTAGATTGCTTGCCTCGCATGCGTGAAGCCATGGATCCAATCCCCAGCCACCTAAGTTCAAGGTTATCCTTGGCTGTATAACAAGTTCGAGGCCAGCCTGGGTTTTCTGAGACCATAGCTCAAAAAAAGAAAAAATGAAGAAGAAGAAAAGAGGAGGAAAAAGGAGGAGGAGGAGAGCAAGGAGGAGGAGAAAGGTGGAACAGTATATTTCAGACTAAACACACTTTAGTAAGATGTTACTGGAAATAAAAGATATTTTATAGTGGTCAAAGGACTAGTCCATCAGAATATTATAAAATTCCAAACAATATGCATCTAATAATGGAGCTCCAAAATGCATAAAGCAAAACTGACAGAAATAAAGCAAGAAGTAGGCAACTCAGCAATAGCAGTTGGGGACTTCATTCATTAAAAAGGTCAGCAAGGGAGCAGAAGACTCGAATAGCACTGCACACCAACAGAACAACCAGCAGCTATAGGACAGGTGGCCAAACGGTAGAATATACAGTCTTCTCAAGTCCATGTAGAATGCTGTCCAAGTCAGATCATATACTAAGCCATAAAACAAGTTTCAGTCTATTTAAAAGAATTATTTTAAAGCCTATTCCTCACCCACAGTGAAATGAAATTAAAAAATCAATAGCAGAAAAAGACTTTGGAAACTCACAAATACATGCAAATTAAGCAGCATACTGCTATAAAACCTGTAGATCAAAGAAGTGTATAGGCAATAAAATACTTCAGGATAAATGAAAGCGAAGTTACTGCACACAAAAGCTTAAGGGACGCAGCCACCATCGTGCTGAGAGAGTAATTTGTACCTGTAAAGTCTGTAGTAAGAAAGAAGAAAGTTTTTAAATAAATAACCAGGCCCTCCACCATAAGACATTAGAAAAGTAAGAACAAACCAGACCTAAAGGAAGGAGAAGGAAGACAGTCATGCTTAAAGAGGAAACAGCAAACAAGGATGGAACAGGCAACTTCCTGATTGAGAGGCGTCTCTGTGTGGTCCGTGCTGGAGAACAGAGGAATTGTAATGACACGTTAGTGAAGCCAAAAGATGTTCTTGGAAAAGAGCGACAAAAACTATAAATCATTCGCTAGACTGATGAAGAAAAAAGAGGTACAACTCAATAGGCAGGAATAAAAAGCAACAGCCAGTCTTGAATGGATAGAAGTTAGTATAAAAATGAATATGATTGTACAACAAATGAGACAATTTAGATGAAATGAAATTCCTAGAAGGCACAAACCATCAAAGCCAACTCGAGAAGACGTGATAGAAACAGGCTTACAATAAATAGAAGGATGGGGCTAGGATTAATGATCAATCCTGCACACAGGTAGTCATTGGTAATCAAAATAAACCAGGTCCAGCTGACTTCTGCTGTTTCTGAAAATCTCTTCAAGAATTAGCATTAATTCTTCATAAACTCTTTCTAAAAACATGGGGGAGGGAACACTTTCCAACTTGTTTTCTGGAGCCAATAATATACTGCTACCAAAACTGTGAAACATTATTGAAAGAAATTAATGAATTTCTAAGTAAGTAGAAAAACATTCCTGCTCATAGATTAGAAAATGCATCATTATTAAAATTGTGATGCCCTCAAAATGATGTGCGGATTCAGCATAATCCCTGTATAATGGTAAATCTTGATTGTCAACTTGACTGGATTAAGAAATGCCTATGTTCATGAAGCTCACCTGTGGGTGTGTCTGTGAGAATGTTTCCAGAAAGGATTAACTAAGGGAGGAAGGCCCGCCCTGAATGTGGGTAACCCCATCCCATATGCTGGGCCCTGATGGGACAAGTGGAAGGGGGAGTTCTGGTGCAGGCATGCTCTTGCCTCTAGGCCACTGTGAGGACTTGCCCTGCTCCTTCATCTCCTCTTTGCCACAATGAAGTGGAATCTCTGACATTGTGACCAAAATGAGTGCTGTCTCTCTTGTTTCCCAAGTATTTTGTCATAGCAACAAGAAGTCTGACTAACACTTCCTTGTTAGACACTCAAGTGAGTTTTTTGTTGAAATCGACAATCTAAAGTTCACATGAAAATTTAAAAGAATACAGAACAGTGCAAATAACTGAAAGGGAGGGAGGAAGGGAGGAAGGGAAGAGAGGAGAAGGGGGAGGGAAAAGAGAAGGAAAGAAAGAGTGAGGGGAAAGGGAGGAGAGGGGATAAAAAAAGAAAGAAAAGGGAAGGGGAGAGAGGGCAGGAGAGAAAGAGAGAATGCTTGGAACAGTAGTTCATGTTATTAATGAATTATCAGAGCACAGAGAGAACTCTCCAGGGCTTCCCACAGGAGCCCAGCAAGCCTCCTGGACATGTGCCCCCCCACCCCCACCCCCACATCCTGTCCAATAATTACCTCCTCTCTTGTCTCTAACCTGGCTGCATCCTCAACTCTTGTAATCCCTGCTCTGCCCACAGAGGTCCTCCTGAGAATAGACTTCCCTGCCCAGGCCTTCCATGTCACTGACCCCTGGGTCCTATCTATACCAAGACATCACTCCAGGTCACTGCTTCCTAAGAGACAGTCCAAGTTTTGGTCCAGGCATGGAAATATGTGGCAGCTGATGTGACAGAGACAATGGAAACCCTGGGCATGGCTGGAAAGAGCAAGGGGCATACTCAGAGAAGACTAGAGCTGCAGAAAGGGATCACAGGAACGCAGAGGCTGGCTGAGTTATGGAGAGACACTGTAAAACAAGATCCGTGAAGCCAGGGTAGTGATGTTCCAGCAGGTGGCTGCCTGGGACAGAAAAATACATGCTCATGAAATTGACCTTCAGCACTACTTGAGGAGGGAAAAGTGTTTCAGTAAGGATCAGAAGGATCCTACAATGTAGAATTCTGGGAAGTCAGAGATATGCTTGGAGGTCATGTCTCCTTTGTCACAGAATATTCTATAGTGTTCACAGGGTCCAGATGTGTTGATTATCTAAAAAAGGCCACTGTAGGGGACTTTTCTGCCCTGATGAAGCTGGTGACTACAATATTCACGTGCCTGCAGTTGGGCACAACCTACCTGGCCAGGCTAACTCATACTCACTAGTGGAAGGGAAAGGAGGAAAAGGCTGCAGAAAGGCCTGCTCTGCTCTTGTTTCAGGTGCTGTTGTGGCCAGCTCATTAATCAGCACATTCCCCCCCTGCCAAGCAGAACTCCTGACAAAAATGAGAACAACCAGGTGGACGCGCAGCCTGAAAAATGGTCTGTCAGCAAACACACCCAGAGCTACCCCACAGATTCCTATGGAATTCTTGAATTCCAGGGTGGGGGCTACTTCAATAAAGCCATGGTAAGAGGGGTGATGGGACTGGGGCTGCAGGGACTTAGCTTTTAGTAGAGTACAGTCTTCCAGTCCCCAGAATGCTGATACTCAGGTTTTCTTCAGACTTACATCTCAACCTTTCACAGGTTTTACTGCAAGTCCAGATGAATCTTTTACCCACAAGTCTTGGAACTTGACGTCACTGTAAAGAACGTGCAGCACTTATAAATTCACCCCGGAGCTCTGAACCCACAAAGCATGCCCTGGCCCAGCCTTCCAGACACATTCCAATGCTCCATCTCCAGTGATAAGGAGTTTCTTTAAAACAATAACAATAACCATGGACCTGCCACCTTCGTAGAGGCATGCAGTCTCTGGAAACATTTTTTCCCTCTGCAGTCAGCTTTGCTCTTCCTGCACCCCACAAGAGAACTAAAGTCTCACAGTTCCCTGTAAACAGGAAGTGTGGCTGCTTTTCTGATGAGCCCTGCAGAGAGGGAAGGACCCAGCCCTGCAATCCATGCAGCTGATTCTGGATAGCCCTCCTCAATGCACATTTGCAATTTCATTTAATTGATCTAACATTGCTGATCAAGTAAAACTCAGTTATGCTCCAAATACCACAACATATATTTTTCCATGATGGCACCCTACATGTGGGCATGGACACAGAGGCAATGCACAGGGACCAAGGCCTCATACCATTAACCTCTTCTTCACCTCGAGAAGGTCAAGTCCAGATGTGGTCCCATAGCCCCTTCCCTGCTCATTCACTTCCTTGCCCAACATCTTGGACCTTTGTTCTAGTTGAGCCAGCTTTGAAATTGATTCTGTCAAGGTTAAGTTTACCAAATAAAGTACAGGACACTCAGATATGTTTGAATCTCAGATACAAAGAAGATAATTTTTAGTATAAGTATGTACCAATTATTATGTGATTTATTGCAGTTAGTAAAGATATTATACTAAACTGTTTTAAAATATTCATCTACAATCAAATTTAGCTAGGCATGCCCATCTGGTCAGCTGATATTATAAAATGCTTTAGATGGGGTAATAAATAAACATCAGAAGTATATTGCTCACAGTTCTCAAGGCTAAGAAGACCATGATCAAGGCACCAGCTGATCTGGTATCTGGTTACATTTCACCTTCTTCTTACTGGATGATGCCTTCCTGCTGTGTCCTCACATGCTAGAGGGATGACCGAACTCCCTTGGCCTGAAGGGCATCATCTTTTAGCCATATCCTATTACTACTGCACTGGGGATCAGGTTTTAACACACGAATGTCAGGGTAACACAAATATTTGGGTCATCACACTGGGGTGTCTGCATTTTCATCTGCTAAAACTGGCAATCTTTCCCAAAGTTCCCTTTAGTCATTTGGCCACAGATTAATACAGAGGGCCTAAGACACTGAGAGAGTTCTTGCTTGGACATGTGTGAAGGCTCTTCTCCCCTCAGCTATGTATGAGAAGCTAAATCAAGGACAGGTGCTGAGCACTACACACTCTTTTGCAGTATATCCGCGTTTCTTATGACACCAAGCCAGATTCTCTGCTCCATCTCATGGTGAAAGACTGGCAGCTGGAACTCCCCAAGCTCTTAATATCTGTGCATGGAGGCCTCCAGAACTTTGAGATGCAGCCCAAGCTGAAGCAGGTGTTCGGGAAAGGCCTGATCAAGGCTGCCATGACCACGGGGGCCTGGATCTTCACAGGGGGTGTGAGCACTGGTAAGAGCAGGCCCTTCCCTCACTGTACGTGTGTGCACCCAGAACTCCCTGAGGTTCCAAGGAGTGTTCTAGTAATAATGGTCAGAAGACAAAACAGGTTACACTCTGATCCTAATTGAGACAATAATGAAAACTTTATCCAGTAGGGTTTTGTTGTTATGATTAATTTTGTTTAAAAGGTAAATATGATTTTGTTGGCTGGCTTTCTGTCACCATAATAAATACCTGAGGTAATCAGCCTATAAAGAGAAAAGGTTTGCTTTGACTCAGTGTTGTCTCAGTTCATGGTTGGTTGGCCCTATTGATTTGGGCCTATGGTAGTGCATCATGGTGGGAGTACATATTGGAGCAAAATTTCAAGGCTAAGAAAGAGAGAAGAGACTAGAGTCCCACAGTTCCCTTCAAGGGCACACCCCAATGATCCAAAGACCACCCACTAAGTCCTTCCTCTTAAAGTTCCCACCACTTCCCAATAGTACCCAGCTGGGGACTGAGCCTCCAACATAGGACTTTCGGGGGAACATTCATGATCCAAACTTCCGCAGTAATAATATCAAGGATAGTAAATATCTGAGTCACCTACTGTGTGCCATTCCCTGAGCATAGCCTCCTTGGCCAAGTGTCATATTCAATAAGCCTGTGGGCATTGTTTCCACATTTCATGGTAGAATACACTGACGCATAGAAGAGTTAAGGAATGTGCCTGGTGGTCTGGCTCTCATTGTTAGCAGAATGAAGCCAAGGACTGTCAAAGAGACCCCAGTGATTTCCAGCTTTGGGTCTTAGAGATATCTAGAGGAGTGCCCTGCTCAATGATTTTGGTCTCTGCTTTTATTTTCTCTATTCCAGATAGTTACGATGAGCACAGACTTGCAGGATGTTGTCGTCCATGAAGAAGAACAGGCCCCATTCTTGATCCTTAGAGAATATGGGGGCTCAGAGTAGGCATCCTTGAAGTTTGTGAATGGTGGTGTGATGTGAGGTAGAAGGGTCTGATATGTGACTGATGGCTACTCACAGGTGTCATCAGCCACGTGGGAGATGCCTTGAAAGACCACTCCTCCAAGTCCAGAGGCCGGGTCTGTGCTATAGGAATCGCTCCATGGGGCATGGTGGAGAATAAGGAAGACCTGGTTGGGAAGGATGTAAGTTCTCTCTGAAGACACTGGCAATTTTAAAAAATTGAAATCTGTATGTTTTAGATCACTGTAGATTCATACCTAGGTGTAAGAAATAACAGAGAACATTCATTTGCCCTTTACTCCTTCTGAGGAAGCCTCTTGTAAAACAATCAGGATGTTGATGGTGATACAATCAAGATACAGAACATGGGGCTGCAGAGATAGATGGCTTGGTGGTTAAGAACACTGGCTGCTCTTGCAGAAGATCTGGGTTCGGTTCCCAGTATCCACATGTTGGCTAACAACCACTTGTAACTCCAGTTCCAGGGGATCCAATGCTCTCTTCTGACCTCCCAGGTATTGCATGACATGGGTACACTTACATACATGCAGACAGTACATTCATACACATAAAATAATTTTTTAAAAAGATATATAACATGTCCATCAACCCAAGGAGCCTCCTATTGTCCTTAAATATCTATACTAATTTCCCTCCTATCTCTACTTTCTTCTTAACCCCTGGCAACCACTAATGTGCTGCATAGCTTTATAATTTTGCCATTTTCAGGAGTTATTTATATGGAATCACACAGTATGCGGTCTTTGAGGATGGCTTTTTCTACGCTACATAATTCTCTGGACATTCATTTACATTAGTATGTGTAGTTAAAGTTTCTTCCTTCTTACTGGTATTGATATACCACAGGCTATTTAATCATTTATCTATTGGAGAACATCTGGGGTATTTATAGTTGATCCATTAAAAATAAAGTTATTTCAAATTAGTGCTCAGGGATCAGGGGAGATGGCTCAGTGGATTACAGTACTTGCAGAACAAGCATGAAGATGTGAGTTTGGGCTCTCAGCACCTACATAAAAAGCTAGGTGTGGCAGTATGTGTTTTCAATCCCAGCACTGGAAACAAAGAAAGGAGGATCCTGGGGGCTCATTGGCCAGGCAGTCTAGCCAATCAGTGAGCTTCAGGTTCAGTGAGAGACCCTGAGTCAAAAAAAAATAAGGTAGAGAGCAATTAAGGAAGACACCCATGGTTGACCTTTGGCCTCCACCAGCATGTGCACCTATATGCCTGTAGGCACACATGCGCGTGCACATACATACACAAACACACAGAAATCTGTGTTCAGGATTTTGTAGTAATGTAAGTTTGATTTCTCTACAGTAAATATCTAAGTTTTACATCATTGGTTTACCATTACCTAAAATAAACAAGTTATTTTTAATATATTAGTTGAGAAAACAACCTTAAGTAGAGAAGTGAAAAGTTTCTACGTGGTCATACATGTGCATGGTGCACTTACTTCCCTGGTTACTCTTAATATTTAAATTCTTAGTTCTGATTGTACTATGCTTTTTTTTTCAGGTAACAAGGGTGTACCAGACCATGTCCAATCCTCTCAGCAAACTCTCTGTGCTCAACAATTCCCACACTCACTTCATCCTGGCTGACAACGGCACCCTGGGCAAGTACGGTGCCGAGGTGAAGCTGCGAAGACAGCTGGAAAAGCATATCTCTCTTCAGAAGATCAACACAAGTAAGTTCCAGGAAGGCCAAGGCGCCACCTCTGGGTGACTCCACAAAGGTGAATGCCAGATGAGAAGGAAGCTGTCCACGGGTGTTGAAAGCCTTAATCTCGATTTTCCTAGATGGTGGACTATGACTAGACCCTTTGCTTTTGCCACTCACCAAATCACATTCATGCAGCTGCTGTGTGGTGCTTTGCCACAAGTTCATAAGCTGGTCCAAGAAAAAACCCTGCCATGGTTGTCATAGTGATGGCATGTCCATCATGTTACCCATAGTTCTTGTTTCCTGTAGTTACTATTGTTATTTTTTAATTGTTTAACAGGAAAAACTGTTCTCAAAGACAGTATGGTTCATCTCATGAACTGATAAGTGTTATATGGTCATTAAATATCTTTGAAGGTAGGAGTCTTTTACCTGGAATAAGATGGCCAGATGAGGAAGACTCTGGGGAGGGTTGGTTGAAGAGCCATCTGCTCCAGTGCAAATCTGCACAGCTCTGAGGGAGGAAAACTCACTGTTGGGAGAAATCTGAAGATGAACTAGAGAGAAAACAGCTCTAAACTAAATGGATACAAGCTGGTTAGAATTACATTAGTTGCTATAACCTTCTGGGACATGCCCACATCCAATAATTCTGTCAAATAATTATTAAGTGATCTCAAAGGATATCTTGTTTTTAACATCGCTAGCATTACTTTTGTGCGAGGCAAACTAGGCTGCAGAAATGGTCATAATTTAATATTGCTCAAGTGGTTTGAATGGGGATGCCTACAATGAAAAGTTGTGCATTTCCAAGAATCAGATCTCAATGGATCAATCAAATGGATTTTTTTTTTAACACTTTAATTTTTTGAACTTGTAAGTTCCACCTGGCCACGTGACTTGTGAGCTTCCCTTTGTCATCCTTTGCCTAGGGCTCTGAGCAGGGCAGGGACAGCAAAGGGGGGCTCAGTGGTCACCTCCACTGCGCAGAGCTTCAGGAAGCCCAGCCTGAGCCAAGAAGAACCAGCTCTACTCTGTTTCTGGAAATGAAGGTGACTTGACCACCATATCCCTGAAGACAGAAAATCCCAAGCCTTGCTTGGCTAGAAATCTCAAGGAAAGAAACATGCCATCCTGATTCATTTTTTTAGTATCTCTTGTTCAGGGCTTGACCCAAGGCAGACCTTCAATGCTTTGTTTGTTGAAATGAACTTAACTGTAATTCTTCCAGTAGGAAACAATAGAGTTGTTCAAAAATACTTAGGCTTCCCTGACTATGGGAACGCAGGGTAGAAGGGAACCAGAGCTTCTGAATTCATTCATTGAGATGCTCAAGTCTTCTAATAACATGTACTGGCAGATTTTACTGGAAGCTCTTGAGCACCATGAGGCCAAAGGCCCTTTGCTTACTTGCTACTTGTTAATGTTGATCATACCTACAGACACTTGGTAAAACATGCTCAGAAAGCAGTCAGCCCTGCATACTCAAGGGGTCTGCAGCCCAGGACTCACTGACCACATGTGGGAAAAAAATTCAGGAGGAGAAAAATTCCATCTTTAATGAATGTGTACAATTTTTTTCCTAGCCATTATCCCCAAGCAATACAGTATAACTACTTGCATAGTATTACATCATATTAAATATTGTAAGTCACCTAGAGATAGTTTGAAGCATATAGAAAGTTGTAGGTTCTGTGCGAATACCACACTGTTTTATATAAGGGACTTGAGCATCCTGAGCTTGGTCTTGGGGGATGGTGAGGGGTCCTGGAACAAGTCCCCAGTAGATTCCAAGGAACAACTGTGTAATCTGTCCTACCAGGCAGAGCTGAACTTTTGAGGTAGGCAAATTTTTCCCTAAGACTCTTCTCTGTCTTCCTGTTGTAGAATCTGAACTTCCCAGAAGTCCTATGTCACCTCCCGTTCCTAGAGCCCATCCTCTGAATCTACCACCAAAAATTAGTTTGCACCTACTATGTTCTTAAAGCCTTCTATTACTAAATTTTTATTAAAAGAGCAGAAGGCAGACTCTGGAACTAAGTCATCAGCAATGGGGTAATGGTGGTCTATATGTTCACCTTTAAGGTAATATATTGGCAGTATATCCCTTATTCAAACTACATGGGGCCTGTAGTGTTTCAGATTTTCAGTTTACAAGATTTTGAATATTTGCATAAGCCTTACCATTGATGATCCATAATTCAAATATTTGATACCAGAAAGGCTTTTGCTTTTGGACCTTTGATTTTCAGATTAGGCATGCTCAACCTGTATTACCTTACTCCAGGCCCTGAAGGCAGAAACACCAGCATACCTCCTTATATGCCTTAGGGCAAACATTTCCTTGTATTTAGATCTAGTGCTCCTTCAAGAGATAAGTGAGTCACTATGATTATTCTCCTTTGACAAGTAGCCCTCTGAGGCTCCTAGTGGTTTGGTCATTGGCCCAGCATTGTAATACTGAAGAGGTAAAGAATTGAACTGAGCTCTTCTTTGACTGATCCAGACCTCCTTTCACTGGGTCATTCTTTAGGAGACCTGGATGGGAATTTAGGCCACCTGGATGAGAATTTCAGACCCAGACAGGGAGTAAGGGAGGTAGGTGCTTTCTTAGCAACTTCCCATATCTCACCTCCAGGTGGCCCTGTGCCAGGTCAGTTACAGGAGTTGGGTGACATGGGAATGTCCTGGAGTTTGAGTTCTGAGGTTCTGGGGTTTGAAGTGAGGCTATGAGGGTTGAATGCAAAAATGAGCACAGTCAGTCCTTGCCTGACTTCCCTTGGTAAACGCTAGCACCACAGGGAGAACTAGGGGCTTGGCAAGTTTGTGCTTTTTGCTGTATTTCAGAATTTAAGGTGAGTAGGAGATGTTCTATGCTGGTGTGATCAGCGACTATGGTTTGTGTTGCAGGGCTGGGACAAGGTGTGCCCGTTGTGGGCCTCATGGTGGAAGGGGGCCCTAACGTGGTTTCCATCGTTTTGGAATACCTCCGAGAAGACCCTCCTGTCCCTGTGGTGGTTTGTGATGGCAGTGGACGAGCCTCAGACATTTTGTCCTTCGCACACAAATACTGTGAAGAAGGAGGGTGGGTTCTTAATGTCCTTTTCGTAGGCTGAGGAGAAGAGTTGAAGTGGTCTACTCAGACATTCCAGAAATGTTAACATCTTAGGTTTTGCCTCATCTCTCTAGTTCCCAAAGTCAACATGAGAGGGCTGTCAGGAGTTCCATGTTCCTGATGGGATTCTCTCTCTGGTGAATCCTGTCTTTGGTGACTCCCCTCTCTGGTGAATAGCTCTCTCTAGAACCCTCTATCTGATGAACCCTCTCTCTCGTGAACCCTCTCTCTGGTGAATGCTCTCTCTGGAACCACGTCTCTGGTGAATTGTCTCTCTGGAACTCCCTTTCTGGTGAACCCTTTCTCTGGTGAACCCTCTCTGGGGACTCTTCTTTCTGGTGAATCCCCTCTCTGGTGACTCCTCTCTCTGGATCCCCCTCTCTGGTGAATCATTTCTCTGGTAAGTCCTCTCTCTGGTGAATCCTCTCTGGAACCCCTTCTCTGGAAACCCCTTTCTGGTGAATCATCTCTCTGGTGAATTCATTCTCTTGCAATTTCATTTTTTTCATATTTTATTATTTTTATTTTATGTGTATGTGTGTATTGCCTGTGTGTAGGTAAGTGTACCCTTGTCATGCAATGCCCGCAGAGGACAGAAGAGGCTATCAGATCCCCTGGAACTGAAGTTACGGACAGTTGTTAGCTGCCATGTGGGTGCTGGGATTCTAACCCGGGTCTTCTGCAAGAACAACTAGTGTTCTTAACCACTGAGCCATCTCTCCAGCCCGCAATTTCATTTTTACTTACAAGTTTTGCAGCAGAGCTGGAATTTAGGATATTTTGAATGCAGTTTTTGACTGTGGCGACTTTTTTTTTTTTTGTCTCCTGTGTAGGAATCTCGTGCATTAGTGAAGTTTCAAGTCAAAGATACTAAATAGACATAGAGATGTCTGATTTACTCTGGAGCAGATTTAATGCCTTGCTTCATTTTCTCTCTTTGTTTCTTTTGAACAGGACCATAAATGAGTCCCTCAGGGACCAACTTCTAGTAACCATTCAGAAAACATTCAATTATAGCAAGACACAATCATATCAGCTGTTTGCAATTATAATGGAGTGCATGAAGAAGAAAGAACTTGTAAGTGTCTTGACTCTATTTCCAAACAAGTTCCATAGAGAGAGTTCTGTTTCCTTTTCTAATTCTGTCCATATGTTGCTTGATGGACTCTTCATACAGCTTACAAATCCATTCCAAACTGGCTGTGTCTGTGTGCACTTGATGGAAAGTGACAAGCCCACACAGAAGAGGGTCCCATGCATTTCAAGACCTTAGCAAACATGAGGTGATGTCACACTATGTCACTCAACCCAGAGATGCAAAACAAAAATTTAAAGTCCTGGAGAACAGGCATATGGTACCCCTTTAGATGTAGTTAAAAAGTCAAAGTCACTTCACTTTGCAAATGCAGTAACTGTTTCTCATTCCTCTTTAACTGTATTTATAAGGAATTGGCAGTCCTTGTTCACACATGATGACATCTTCAAAATTCTAGACTTGAGAATTTCCTGTTAACATATTCCCTCTAACGGAAGTAGTGGATTCCATTAGATACAGGGTTCATCAGCTCAGATGGCTATACAGATCTTGAGTGAATACCTTCCTCTTGAAGTGGGATAAAATCAGAATCCAGGCAAGAATTGTATCACCAAGAGCAACTCAGAAACTCCTGGAGATTGAAAACACTTGGTAATGCCTCAGCAGCTCTCAGCTCTGGTTCATGGTGCCAGTCTTTGTGTTGTTTTAAAAACAACTCCATTCCCCCTCTTGTTCTTTGCTTTGACTCTGTTTTTTCTCCACTCTCCTTTGCTAGGTCACTGTGTTTAGGATGGGTTCTGAGGGGCAGCAAGATGTCGAGATGGCAATTTTAACTGCTCTGCTGAAAGGTGAGGTGCTAGGAAATGATGACTCTTGTCTTTTCAGAACCAGGCTGGCCTAGGCTTTGCCAATAATCAGAACTCCTTCCCCTCCTCTCCTACAAGGGACTGTTAGTGACAAAACCCTAAGCCAGTCAGGCTGCCTGGGGTGACTCAGTAAGAGGTGTTAGAATGACCAGACTCCTCTGAGAGAATTTCTGTGGGGCTTGGGTTGATGGGCGCTCATGGGCATGATCTACCCAAGTCAGAGCCTTTTCCATCTGTAGCTGCTTCAATGAGTCTGATTAGTCAACACTGCATTCCACAGACCACTGTCCAATTTCCTGCATCACCTCTAACAATGAGCTGAACCAGGGGCTCATAATGAGGTGGGGTCCCCTATGGGAGACACATTTCCTCCCTGCCTCAGCTACTCTGGAGCACAGGCACAGGAGGAGAGAGGAGAGGACTCACTGTGGGCTTATGCTGGGCAAAGCTGCACTAGTCTCTGCACTGGCCAGGGACTGGTGGCCCTTAGCCTGGCCTGGCAGATGTCTGGGCAGTTGTAGGCCGGCTCTCCTTTTCACATGAGGGTCTTGAGTCACTTGGTTCCTCCTCTGTCCTTTCCAGGAAACCACACAGAACTGTCACAGGAAGAGGCTGCCTTCAGCTTCCACTCAGGAAGCTCTAAAAATTATAGTTCTTAGCTTGGGGTTTTAGTGGTAATTTAGGGGCAAGAGAGAAAGAAGGTGTTTAGTTTCAGACCGGTTCCCAGCCAGAAACTCTGAGTTCACTACCCAGCACCTGCCAAACCCTGAGGATCCAGATATGGAGTGAAAAACTGCTCTCACTTCTTCCCTTTCTAGGAACCAACGCATCAGCTCCGGATCAGCTGAGTTTGGCACTGGCTTGGAATAGAGTTGACATAGCAAGAAGCCAGATCTTTGTCTTTGGGCCACACTGGCCGGTGAAACTGTTTTTCCGTTTTTGTTTTTGTGTTTTTTGGCTTTCTGAGAAAGGGTCTCATATAGCCCAGGCTGGCTAAGACATGTAGCCCAGGCTGGTCTTGAATTCCTTCCTGATCCTCCTGCCTCTACCTTCCAAGTGCTGATATTAAAGACATGTGCCACCATGTCTGGTGAAACTGCTTTTCTCTTTATGCAATTCATTGTAACCTTGTACAGATGACATGTAGTGCATCCTTGTCCATGGTGTGGCTTTCAGATGATGTGGTGGTTCTGATGAGCCAAGGGGTAATCCACAAGATTACTGGAAGATGTTGCTGTTTAACTTCAAAGAAACCAAAGAAGGAACCACTATGGGCACTAAGTGTGCTTCAAGCTAGTCTGAGGAAATTAACCACCAAATCTTAATTGTCGCTGGTGAAAATGGGTTCTCACTTCCTTAAAGAAAAAGAAGAAAGAAAATAGCTCATTAAAATTAAAAACAATGCTTCCAGGCAGGATACTGATCTATGTTTCATGAAACCTTAGAGGCCTGGAAAACTCTGTGTCTGACGTGTATGTGATCACTGTGTGTAGTGTCTATGGTCTAGTGTCTGTGGTGTGGTTTAATGTATTGTGTGGTATGTCTGTGTGCAGTATGTGTGTGTAGTATGTGGATCGTGATATGTGGTATGTGATATAGAAATGTGGTTTATTTAGCATGTGTGGAGTGTGTGGAGCTATAACGTGTATATGTGAGTGTGTAAATGTGAGGCAGTGTACACATATGTAAGCTTTGTGCATGTGTAGAAGGGCATGAGCATGTGTATCCTATGTATTGTGTTTGTATATGATGATGCATGGGCATGGATGATGTGTATGGTTGGCTGGCAGTGTGTATATGTGTGTTTGTGTGTGACTAAGGGATATTTTGTGTGTTTGTCGTTGTGACACTATATCAAGGGGAGACATGGTGTATGGTTAGAAAGTGTGCATAAGGAAGGACAAAAAGTTGTGTGAACACACACACATGGTCCCACAATGCACCTGTATAAGTGACACTAAACTTTCTTCAATCATTCCTCAATTAAAGCAGCTCCTTTGCTCTAAAAATTAGAGCAGGAACCAATGACAGTCTAGAAAATCACTGGAGGATCATGAAGAAATAATCAGGACAGTATTTCCTCAACCCATATTTGAAGTTTGAAGCAAAATTCTCTGTTTGTGGATATGGTCCATGCCAATCCACATCTTTTTAAAGTATGGTGCACATATTGTCATACCCTATGTTGGGTGTGCTCTCACCTGAACTGCATAGAGAACTGTTACCTGCCTTGTGCTGGCTCTAAACTTCTAGCAGCACAGGATTATAGAATTGTTTTACCCCATTAATTTCCATCTGCAGAAATTCCCCCATGGTTTTGTTATGTACCCCATCTGCTCAATCCACATGCCTCTCATCCCAAAGCTCTAAAGTTGGCAGTTCTTGGACCAGGCAGCATGCTCCCAAAGGGGAGATGCCATTCCTTGTTATCTTCTACCTTACTAGACTTGGTTCACCATGTCACCCTATCAGGGTTTGAAAAACTCCAATTGTGCCATCTGCCTCATTTTCCTCATGACTGAAGCAAATGTCACCAACATTTGCCTCTCTCTAGCCTATCACTCTTTTCTTGTTCTCTGAGATTCCTCCAGAACATTCCATTTTTAAGCTATTGCAGTTGAAAGCTACCAATGACATCTAGTGCAAAAAGTAGACCACACCTACCTGTCAGCTGCTCTCTTTCGGCAGCCCCTAAAGCCCCTTCTCGGAAGTGCTGGCAACCTAGGCTGGAAATTATTCCTCAGAGATTACCAACAGAGCTCTTAAAATTGAGGAGTTACCCAAGAAACAGAGCAAGTGAACTCACCGGAGCATCTAGAAACACTCTTCTTATACCCAACCACTCCTCTTGAATCTTCTCACTGTCTTTAATAGCAAGGCCAGAGCCTCTGCGAACAGAGAGGCTATTTCTCATTTGCTCAGTACTTTTTCAAAGCTTTACACTTTTTTTTTCATTCATTTAACAAATATTGGTTGACTGCTTCTTGTGTCCCAGGCTCTTGTCCATGTGCTGGGGGCACAGGAATAAATACAATAGGCATATAAAGGCCTTTAGTAAACTCTTCATTGTGGCCTATGTGAAAATAGGGAGTAGGCAGGAAGTAGAGGCTAGTGTGGAACAAATAGCCAGTTATTGGATTTCAAGTCTAGGAGGTGCTAAGATAGAAAATGTGCATTGCATGAAAAAACATATGGAGGATTCAGGTACTAATTTGTAATGGAGTACCAAGAAAGACACCTTGGAAAGAACAGAATGGACCCTGATGCTGGCAGTGGATACATAGATGCTGCAATGGGCCATGAGGAGGAGTACCTTCTGTGCGGAGGGAAGGCCACAGAAGAACAGACTGAGGCAAGAAACAGATGGGCATTTTTGAGTAATCAACAGTGGAGGCAGGGAGGCTAGACTGCAAAGGGAGAAGCAGGTGACTCTGGTCAGGAACTGTGTGTGGCTGAGCCCTGAAAATAAAAATCTAGGACTGAAGGCTGGGACCTTAGGGCTGGGGGGACTCACAGGAAAACTTTTCTGTTTTAAGCAACAGTAAATATTTATCTCACAGTTTCTGATGGTCAAGAACACGGGAGTGGCTTTGTTGGGCAGTCTAGTCCAGGGGCTTTCCTTAGATTGTAGTCTATCTGTAGGCTGGGGCTGTGGTCATTGGCATGCTGGGGGATCCATTTTCGTGTGGTGTTCTCTAGGAGGCTGATGTTGGCTCTTGGCTGGTGACCATATACTCATGCATGTGGGGCCATCGACTGGAGTGTAGTTGACTTACCAGAGGCCACATCCTTAAGGAAAACTGACTCTCCCTCCCCCAAAAGTCATTAGCTGTTGATAGCCCCTCAGTTAGTGGGGGAGGCTCATGCCCCTCCCACTTCATGCTAGAATGTTTACAGGCTTGATCTTGTACAGGTGTTATGCAGACAACACTGTTGCTGTGAGTTCATGAGTGGAGTAGTCCTGTCATGTCCAGATGACATTGTTTTGCTCCAGTTCTCCCTAACCTCTAGCTCTTGCAATCTTTCCACTCCCTTTTCCTAATAATCCCTGCACCTTTGGAAAACAGGGGGATATAGACATTCCATTTGTGACTCAACACTTTAGAGATACTCTCTGCACTTTGAGCAACTGAGTCTCTGGGTTAACCACCATCCAGTGCACAAAAAACTTCTCTCATGAATTCTGAGGGATGTACTAATCTATACGTATAGAGAGATGAATTTAGAAAGCAGTTTGAGACTATGCCTCTTTAGCAAAATAATCATAGCAGATCTACCTCTGGGGCCTGTGAGCCCCCCAACCATAGGTTCTTGGCCAGATTTACAGTACTGGGCATATGTTTCCTCCTGTAGAATGGGCCATAAACCCAATCAGAAAATGGTTGATTGTCTCCATAACATTGGTGCCACCTTTGTACCCATGGACATAGCTTGCTACACCAGTCATTATTGTAGTTTACAAGGTTCACAGCTGGGTAAGACTATTGAAACCTACATAACATCTTACAGTACTCTGAAAGCTAACCAACAAGGAAGAAGCATCCAGGTCAGTACCAACTTGACTTCTCCATTTCCTGTGAGAAAAGTGTGTGGTCTCTTCAGTAATAGGGTCTTACCATCAAGTTCTGGTGGACAACCAAGAACAATAGCAATAGCTTACATTGTTTGGGACCCAAAACACCCCTGAACTACAACTTGAGAGGAGGTATCCCACACTTGGCACTGGGCTTTCTATTTGGTAACCTATGACTTCTGAGTTTTACCCCGTGTAGGTAACTTCAGTTAAACTCATGTGGGGCGTGTGTGTGTGTGTGTGTGTGTGTGTGTGTGTGTGTGTGTGTGTGTGTATGTGTGTATACATGCATGCATTGAAGAAGCTTATAAAATAGTAGGTTTCCATATGGCTTTTTCAAGCATCGATAATTAGCATAAATTTTCTCTCCACCCCAATCCTACCTTCCCATCCCTCTTCTCACTTAAACCTTCCTCATTCACCTTTTCTCCATTTTTAAGTAAATGTTCAGTGGTATTAAACTTTTCCTTATTGTTATAGAGACATTATCACTTCTAGAGTTCCATTCATCCTATGAAACTGAAATTCTGTAGCCACTGAACACCATCTCCCCATTTCCTTCAGCCCCAGACCCCCAACAACCCCTATTATGTTCCTGCTCTTATTAGTAGGATGACAGGTACCTTCCATGGGTAGAAGCATGGAGTGTTTGTCGTTTGGTGACTGACTTCTTTCATGTAATGTGGATTCATCACTTGGTGTATGTGTCAGCATGTGTCATAATGTTCTTCCTTTTTAGGACTGAAAAATGTTCTACTTTAGGCCAGGTGTGGTGGCACACACCCTTAATCCCAGCACTCAGGAGGGGGAGAGTTTGAGGCCAGTCTGTTCTACAAAGTGAGCTACAGACTAGCTGGGGCCACATAGTGAGACTCTGACTCAAAAAAATAAAGTTGTACTATGTGTATTAGCACAACTTATCCATTTAGCTGTCAGCAAGCAATAGCTAGTGTGAGTAGTGTTGCTATGGACACGGGTGTAAGATGTCCACTTGATTTCTTTCTTCAATTCCTTTGGAAGTATATCTAGAAGTAGAAGTGCTGAATTCTGTGATAATTCGATGTTTACTGTTGGGAGGAATCACTGTAATCATTTTCATAACTCTTGCATCACTTTACATTCCCAATCGCCATGTAAAAGTTTCTAATTTCCCCACTTTCTCAGCAACATGTGTTATTTTTTTTCTTTTTATCTTGTCAGTTTTTAAAACAAAGCCATCCTAATTCATATGAGGTGGTATCTCCAGTGATTTTAATATGTACTTCCTTGTGAAATTATGGATGTTGAGCATCTTTGATGGCCATTTGTATAATTCTTGGGAGAAATATCTATTCAAGTCTTTTACTTATTTTTGTATGGGTTATAGCTGTTGAGTTTTGCTTATGGGTGCGTATACTTGCTATGTACACATAGGTGCATTGTATGCATGAAAGTGACTCTGAGTGTGTGTGTGTTTGCACACTGCCATGTGTGTACTGCTTGTGTGTGAACATGTGTGAGTCTGCCATGTGTACATATGTGAGCATGTGTATGTACATGCTCTGTGTATGTGCATACGGAAGTTGGGAGGGTCAGTGTGCTTGTCTTAGGATGAGGGACAGCCTTGAATGTCTTTCCCCAACTCTGCTTGCTATGGATTGCAGCCCCTGGGAAGGCTGGCCCCTCCAGTGGACAGCAAAGCCACAGAGAAGAAGAAGCCACCAACAGCCACCACCAAGGGGAGAGGAAAAGCCAAGAAGAAAGGGAAAGTGAAAGAGGAAGTAGAGGAAGAGACTGACCCCCGTAAGATCGAGCTGCTGAACTGGGTGTGTGGAAAGACCTTGCTTGTGTTTCTTGGGATCACAGGACTGAATTGGCATCACCCTAGTCCTCCAGGGAAGGGGCATGCTTGTTCCCTTGGCTTCCTCCCCACCAGGACAAAAATATTTCAGTGGCAATAGCATGTTCACTGCAGTGCAGCTGTCAGTTTCAGTTGTCAAAAGACGGCACACTCCTATTTATGGAGCAAAGGTGCCACCCAGAGAGGAGGTCTGGTCATCCTGTTCAGTGGAGGCTTTCTCTACCTGGCAGACTTGGTGCATGAAGATATGAGAAACAAACCACCTAACTACAGTTCATGCAACAAAACCCTTTAGAAGATAGAGCCGGTGGTAGGGTGGGAAGGGGGATTGGGGGGTCGGCAGCTGCCTGGACTGAAGGTGGGTACCACCCGTGGTTTCAGGTTTCCTTGCTGCCCAGACACAGGCAAAACAGCCTGTGTACGCTGGTGGCCTGTGACATGGCCACACAGTCCCACAACTGTTAAAGGACATTCCTCAGTCAAGAAATCAGTGAAGAGAAACGGAGTAGAGCAACACTAGGATGGTTGTGATTTTCTATAGCCTCCTCAACTTATTTTAAGAAGAGAAAATCCTTTATAAACTTTGACAGAACACATAGGGACCAGACTGAAAAGAAAGAGGAGATGAGATGTGTTCACTCAACAGAAACAGTTCAAAGAGCTATGGGCTGACAGTAGCTCAGCATTGACTAGCACATGGAGGCCCTGGGCTTGATTCCCAGCGTTAACAACAACAACAAAAACAGAGAATAATGTTCAGAACATTCCAGATCCTAGGTGTTCAGAATCCCTTTTCTGAGATTTCTCCTCTGGGCCTCCTGCCTGGTCTCCTGGGAGGCAACTCATGGTCTCCCCTTCTGGATTTCACGCAGGTGAATGCCCTGGAACAAGCCATGTTGGATGCTCTTGTCTTAGATCGAATTGATTTTGTGAAACTTTTGATTGAAAATGGAGTGAACATGCAACATTTCCTTACCATCCAGAGGCTGGAGGAGCTTTATAATACAGTGAGTACAGGAGGAAGAGCAGAGGGGAGCTAGTTCTCAGAATATTTTTTATTACTGATTCATATTATGCAAAAAAATGTGCTCAGCTAAGTGTAGAATCACTGGGACATGGTTTCAGCTAAAAGGCCCATGGTCAGTGGCAGGCAGCTGTTTCTCACTTGCTCCTGGCCAGTCTGGGTTCACACTGTTACATACCATGCCATGCCAGCCAGTCACTCCAGCTGGAGTACACAGAAGTCCTTTGACTTTGGGCTTTCATTCTGATAACCCTATCTCTGAGGTAAAAGTAGCCTAAGTTGAAAAAGCTGCAGCTCACATAGTGAGAGATCACTAGCCTGAAAAAGATTTTGATTCAAAGAATAGTTTCTCCTGAAGGCTTGTGTGTTACTTGTGCAATACAGTAAAGTCTGAAAATGGTAAGGCAGAGGAGACTGCTTGCATTTACATCCTATACTTGGGAAGCAAGAGGCTCTCGTTTCCTAAGGTATCAGCAGACCAAACTGTTACCAGAGGTTATTAGTCATTACTTGGGACCCTTACATTTCCATGAGGCTGCAGTCAAAAATGTGGAACCAAATTCTAAAAGTCAGGAGCTGTGCCATGTCAGAATGGGAAGTATTTGAGTGAAATTTGCCTTGCCTACACTATTACAATTTAAGTTTTGAGAATTTATGTGTCCTTCCCTATTCTAAGATTGAAAGTGGCAGAAATGGTCCTCTCCTATGACTCACTGAAGTGTGTGAATGGTTAACACTACATTGTGCCTTACAAGGGGTTCCTAAAGTAATTCAACACACAGTATCTTACATACACTTGAATGTGGTAACCACAATTAATTGTGCCTCATGAAAGAGATCAATTGGAAATCACACCTTAGCCCTCACAATTTACTGATTCTATCCAGTGGGGTAGAATTTTGCTCCAAGAATCAAAGAGCAAAATGAGTATTATGACTGAATACTTCTCTTTCAGAGACTGGGCCCACCAAACACACTTCACCTGCTGGTGAGGGATGTGAAAAAGGTCAGTCTACATTTAATGATCTTTACCTGTTAGCACCTTTCACTAAAGTATTTCTCAAAAGCAATTTTCTATTTCCAAAATGTGTTATCTTCTTCCTATTTTAGACAGAAGGAACGAGTTGCTAACAAGAGTTTATTTATAATTAAAAAGAGAGACGAATTAGGGGATGGGAGATGGTTCAAAAGGTAAAGAAAGCACTTGCCTCCACAAGCATAAGGACCAGACTTCAAATCTCCACAATCTAGTAAAAGCTGGGTGAGCATAGTGGCCCATCTACAATTTCATTCAGAGTCAGGGATTTGGGGGCAAACTGAGAGTTCCAGGTTCATTGAGGGACCGTGCCTCAATATATAAGCTAGAGAGCAATCAAGGAAGACACCTGACATCAATCTTGGGCCTCCACACACATCTGTGCATAGACATGCAGCGAACCCACACACAGGTACAAATATGCATACACACATGCACAAATACCACACACCATTTGTACAAAGTAAAAAATAAAACTTAAAAAGAAGCCGGGCGGGCGTAGTGGCACATGCGTTGTAGTCCCAGCACTCGGGAGGCAGAGGCAAGTGGATCTCTGTGAGTTCAAGGCCAGTCTGGTCTATAAAGTAGACCAGCTTGGGCTACAAAGAGACCTTGTTTCAAAAGACCAAAAAAAAGAACCTTAAAAAGAGAGCTTCTTAAGCAGCTTTTAGACGCCACAGGACAGGAACACACTGATGACTGGATAGCACAGCACCAAGTCACCTCTTTCCCAAAGTACCGACAGGCTGGTCAGTGTTCTAGTTTGTTTCTTCATTGCTGTGACAAAATACTCTGATCAATACCAACTTGGGGAGGAAAGGGTTTATTTGGCTTATATCTCCTGGATCATAGTTCATCAGGGAACCCAAGGTAGGAACTCAGGGCAGGAACCTGGAGGCAGGAGCTGGAGCACAGGCCATGAAGGAATGTTGCTTACTGGCTTACTTCCCTGGTCCCTGCTTAGCCTGCTTTATGCAACACAGGCCCACCCACCTGCCCAGGGGTGGCACCACTCACAGTGGGCTGGGCCCTCCCACATCACTCAACAATCAAGAAGATGCCCCACAGACATGGTCACAGGCCAGTCCTATGGAGGCAATTCCCCAACTGAGGCTCCCTCAACCCAGGCGTGTCAAGTTGACACTAAAGCTATCCAGCATAGTGAGGAAGTCATGTGCCCAGTAGGGCACAGCAGGGGTTCTCAGCCTTTTCAATTCCTTCATTGCTGAGAGCTACTCTCCTCACTCTCTGCGGCTGGACAGCCCATATTCCTTTGGGATCTTGTACACTCTGTGTCCTGTCCTGTCCTGACATCTCTTACGTCTCGTCATCACAAGTTAAAGATTAGATTGTGTTCGCATAGGAGTGATCAATCTCACTAAAATGAGAGAGTATGGTGCTCTGTCAGATTCCTGGGCAACTTGGTCGTATTTCATAACAATATTCAACATTCATAATATGAGAATATGATTTATACAGAGCAGAATGGAAATCAGTGGATCTGGGATGCAAGGGACCAGAGAATCTGAGACCCTCCGGCCACAGCCCTTGTTTTTCACATAAATATTCTGAGCTCTCCCTCAAGACCCAGGTGGAAGACAGATTAAGAAGTGCAAACTTTCAAAAATAATAGTTATCCAACTTCAAGCCCAGCCATTTCACAGTTGAATGGCTTCAATAATCTCCTTTCTCCGAAAGTCCTTCCTCCCACCACTCCATTCCCTCTTCATAATCTCCCCCAATTCTCCCATTGAAACCTTCCCATGGTTCAAGCTTATTCCAAGAAACATAAATTCCCACTGTGCCTGGCCCAGGCCCACATCCCCTACTCTTTCCCAACACATTCCACCACACTCTATACTAACCTCATCTGACACTCCAGAGCCCCAGGACACTGTATTCTGTCTGAGCCACACTTCCTCACACCAACAACACTCTTTATCCCTCTCCCCCACCATCCCTATTTGATTCCAATGTCACCTCTTGGAACCATATGTACCCTACAACAACCCACACAGACAGCACCAGGCACTGCTCCTGTGCATGGAGCATGCTGCTTCACTGAGCTGCTTACAGCTTTGCTCCTCTCCCTCTCAGCACCCAGCTCTTCAGAGCAAGCTTGCATTTCCTTGTAGCCAGTGAGAAGTCCTTGGGCTAGGGTATATCTCAGCTGTATGCTTGCCTAGCATGCATGACACCCTGAGTTCAATTCCCAGCACTGAAAAATAGTCTAGTCCCACTAGTAAGAAATTCCCAACATGGTCAGTAATTGAACAAATACATAACTCATGAGCAAAAGATCCAGCCAGCATGGTCAGCCCTATCATAAAAGAACATGCAGTGGATCCCAGGGCACTGCCACCATTTCAACCATTATGAAATCAACCAAGCAATAAATACCCACAGCAAAAACCAAGCAGCTGGCCAGCTCTGACTATCAGCTCGTCCAGGACATGGGTGAATGGCATAATGCAAGCAGCACCTCTCTTCAGGTCAATCCTTCGCACCAGTGGAATTCTGTCCCAATAGACCCTCCTCCACGTTATTTAAAATGCTACCTCTTCAGTAACTCCCAGTCATGCCAGATAGTTCCTGGTGTTTGTATTTTACTGAAGACCTGGGAGCCTCCCCAGAAAATCATTAAGCACCATTAAGCTTTTGCTAGAGAAACTCCTGCCCCGAGGAACACTCTGGCCTCCCACAGTCTCCCACAAGGCCCAGTACCTCTGATACGAAATTTGGCCCCTCCCCTGAGGCTAGCTTCTCCACTGTAAGGGGCTGTTGAAGGTACTTGTCATCCAAACAAATCTGCTGGCATGTCAGTGGCACCAGACCCCTCCTTCCACTTCCACATACCAGCTACAGACCTGCCTATCTGGCCGTGGGTGTGCCATAGACCCTAGAGTCACTGAGTGTTTAACCCTCTCTTCTCAGTGGAAGAGCTTAAGCAGATTTCTGGGATGTGGTTTAACCTGTATCCCACTGCATCATATGGTAATGACTGAATATTATTTATTGCCCTCATTTGTTACAGTAACTCCCAAGTCACTACTAGAATGATGACTTATGCCTGAATTTGGGATGACATCCTCACTGTAAACTTTCCTTTTTACAGAGCAACCTTCCACCTGATTACCACATCAGCCTCATAGACATAGGACTCGTGCTGGAGTACCTCATGGGAGGTGCCTACCGCTGCAACTACACTCGGAAAAGTTTCCGGACTCTCTACAACAACTTGTTTGGCCCTAAGAGGGTAGATCTCATCAGGCACACAGTCTTCTGTGCTTCCCAGAAGGACATGTAGTTCCTTGATGTGCTTCCCAGTAACTCTGCCCATAGAGAGCTCAACTCTTCACCCATCTGTCCCAGTGTACACCTGCCCTTCCTCTGCCCTGACACCCTGCGCCCCCCCCCAAAGTAAAGCCTCGCAGCTTCACATGCAATCATCTACATCATCCCTTAGGACTATTTCAGGCAGCACTATCAAGCACGTCTGCACTCCCTGTTTGCCCACAGAGGCTTTCCTCCTGAAGCCTCATGTCTCTTCTCTCTCAACCCATCCTCCCACCTCACCACTGGAGCTGCTGTCATCTTCTAAAGCAAGGGACATGGCAAAAGCCAGAACTCCCCACTGTCCAGAAAACCATAGCCAAGCTCATGGCCACAGCAGCAAAGGTGGTTGTGGCCAGCTGTCCCACCCCACCACAATAGATCCTCTTCCTCCACCAAAGTCATATTCCTGGCTTGCTGTGACTCTTCTTCCTACGTGAGCCTGCCAAAATCCCACTCTTATCAGAAGTCCAGTGTAAAGGTCAGATCTGGGGAGAAGCTTTCCTTACCCCCACTCAACAGTCTGTTTTCAGGGAGCTTCTCTGGTTCCATTTGTGATGATACCATGTGTCTATATGTCTTTGCTAACTGAATTCTGCCGACAGACACAGTTTCCAAGCTAAATCATTTCTTCCTTGGATATTACCATTAATTAATAGTGATACAAAGTATTTAAAATCTATTATATCTACTACTAACAAAACTGATGCCTTACAAATATGATACCAACCGTTACCTGAGTAAACTAATTTTTTTCGTGCTTTTTTCATTATGTAGCCCAAAGCTCTCAAACTTCTGGGAATGGAAGTAAGTAGAATTGATTTCTAATAGTTTTATGGTATTATGGTAAAACATATGTAAATCTTTTAGGTTTATGTTAACACAAAATTAAGCAATATTTTCCACAAAAAAAAAATCCACTATACAACTCACCAAAATCTACTTAGATGAGCTGGGTAAATTATAAAAAAAAATTATATATACTTTTAAAAATTTGTGTGTCTGTGTGTATGTACTGTATGTGAGTGTATGGATGCACTTGTGTGTGCAGGTGCACAGGCACATATTTGTGTGTATGTGGGGGCCGGAGGCTGATGTCAGATGTCTTCCTCTGGTGCTCTCTATTAAAGCAGTTTCTCTAGCTGAACTTGGAGCTTGCTGATTCCAGCTACTCTACCTAGTCAGCTTCCCTGGGGTTTCCCCCATGTCTGCCTCCCAAGGGCTGGGATTACAGGTAGCTACCATGCCTACCCAGGAGAGTAGATAAACTGCCTTTATCTTTCCTGTGGTGTTATCTGCATTTCGTTTATGGGGAGGTTGTTTTGGGTGTTTGTTACACCTCCTCAGTTAAAGCCCAATGAAAAAAAAGAACTTGCTAACCCAGTGGGATAAGCTACTCCACTAGTAGATTTCCTTTTCAGTTCATTGATTTCAAATGGTCTACTTCAAAATGAGCATGTGTATTGTATTTTCTCAAAAGAGGACAGCGAGTGGATAGTCACGAAATCTCTTTACTGCTTCTAACATAAAGGTCTGCCATTCTCCAGTAACTCCTGAAACATTTGTTGCCCATTTAGAAGAACCATGAAAAACATGTGTTTTTTCTCCCTTCAGGATGATGAGCCTCCAGGCAAAGGAAAGAAGAAAAAGAAAAAGGAGGAAGAGATTGACATCAGTGTGGACGACCCTGCTGTGAGTCGATTCCAGTACCCATTCCATGAGCTTATGGTGTGGGCGGTGCTGATGAAGCGCCAGAAGATGGCCGTCTACCTGTGGCAGTGTGGGGAGGAATGCATGGCGAAGGCCCTGGTAGCCTGTAAGCTCTACAAGGCCATGGCCCAGGAGTCCTCTGAGAGCGAGCTGGTGGATGACATCTCCCAGGATTTGGACAACAATTCCAAGTCAGTGTCTAGAGGAAATCTAAGGACCCAGACTGACTATTATCCCTAGCGCTCTCCCTCTTCGGTAGGATGGCCATTGCACATCTCACTTAAGGATCATTGTGTTTAAGGCTTATTCATGAACCATTTGCCCTGCTGTCTGTCAGTATTTCTACTGCTGTCTCTCTGGGATGCTTCTGGGATGTTAGTGGTTTGGCTTACTACCTTCTCAATCGGACTTTTGAAGCACACTTCTGATGCAAAGGCAGTGAAATAAACTTCCATAAAGAAACACTGATGAGGTGTAAAACTTTAGCATCTATGCCCTGAACTGTGAATGCTGTGAGGATTTCTGTTTTCTCTTTCTCTGGAGCTGGGGCAGATGGCTAAAAGGGGCTAGAGTTTGGGGTTTTCTCTTCTCCCATGTAGGTTAGATATCTCACCCCCCTACCCCCCCGCACACTCTGGTTACCTCATTTCTCCTGCTAGGCAGAGCTGGGTGCTGCTGGATTTCAATGTGGTTTCTTTTCCCCTTTCCCTGTTGGAAGATGAGACGGGTCCCCTGGAGTCTGTCACATTTGGATTTGGTCACATGAAGCATTCAGCAATTAATTTATCAATTATAGCTCACATTTCCTAGGCAAGTCCTGGTTCCTGCAGACATTTCTGCTCCATTAAGCAATGATTCTGTGTATATGCCTGCCTAACCCTCCAGTCAGGGGCACAGTCTCCCCTGTGATGTCACTTCTCTGGTGGAATGAAGAAAAGACATTGATTTCCAGCTTGTTCAGCTTTTTTTTTTTTCCTATTGTTAGTAGACATGGACCCTTTCCAAGTTCCTTACATTCCAGACTGGAAATCTGAAGCCCAGGACAACTTTATAGGCATATAAACTTGAGGCAGATGCAGGCAGCTCTGCCAGCATCTTACAGCTTTGTTTTGAAGCTGCTGCTTTTGTTCTGGATTTGTTGATTTCTAAAATGACTAGTTGGCTTCTAAATGTTAGAACCCAAGGCTTTTTAGGGTGTGTTCACCTGCCTCAGGATTCCACATATAGCCCCACCTTGTAGACAGTCCTCTTTTAGTGAAAAGTCACCATGCCAGTGAGGACCAGGACCAGAAGGTACTGTAGACGACACACTCTTCTGAGGATAGGGATAACCATTCTCCACCACACAACTCTGTTTTATCTTCAGCTTCATAATTACAACAAAATCTCTGTAAATGGAGAAGTACAAAGAGAGGAGAATGATCACCATGTGGTCGGACTTTTAACCATATTTCATGACAAAAAACGTTGGGAAATGACTACAGCTATCATTAAATGTTTGAATCAGGATCATGTGGTAAAAAGAATAAACTCTATTCAAACTTCAGTTGTGCTACTTTCTCCACGCCCCTGGATCCCATCAGTGTCCCCCTTTAATAATTAGATATTCCTGCTCTGGGTCCTGTGACATTTTATCTCACAGCACTGAGCATGTTAGAGTCTCTTGAAATCATGTTTGTTGAAGTATTACACACTATACAAAAAGCACATTGCTTCAATGTGTGGCTTGATAACCATTCTCAAATGAAACACACAGCCATAGTCAGCACCCACATTAAGAATGAGAGGCTGGCCGGGATGTGGTGGTGCATTTAATCCCAGCACTTGGGAGGTAGAGGCAGGCAGATCTCTGTGAGTTCAAGGCCAGCCTGGTTTATATAGTAAGTTCCAGGCCAGCTGGGGCTATAGGGAGACCCTATCTGAAACACACACACACACACACACACAGACACACACACACACACACACAAACACACACACAAATCAGAAGCTGACTAGAACCCACAAGTTATCCTGGTTTTCCACCTGTTCCTGGATCCTAAGGGCAGCCACTGTTACAACTTATAGGCCCACAGATCATGTCTTTTCTCTCTGCCTCACTGCTCTGTGTATAGCCTGAGGAAAGGAATTTTGTCTCCTTTTGGCCTGAGACCCTGTTTAGGATCCATCTGAAGCTCTATTTTCAGGAAGAGCAGTCAGTCCCTATTCTGACTGACTGCAGAACCTGCTATTGCTGCCCCATCCCTACCCTACCCTCTGGTGACACATCTTGAGATCTTAGAGGACATTAAAACCACTTCCAGTTCTCTGTTCTGTGCCCTGTGGCTCCCCACATCCCCCATGGATGCATATGCCCAAGAAAGAGCTCATTGCCGCTGTGGTTTCGCTCCCAATGCCATCTTTTCCCCTCCAGGGATTTTGGCCAGCTTGCTGTGGAGCTGTTAGACCAGTCCTATAAACACGATGAGCAGCTCGCCATGAAACTTCTGACCTATGAACTCAAAAACTGGAGCAATTCCACCTGCCTCAAGCTGGCTGTGGCAGCCAAGCACCGGGACTTTATTGCACACACCTGCAGCCAGATGCTGCTAACCGACATGTGGATGGGAAGGCTTCGAATGAGGAAAAACCCAGGCCTGAAGGTGGGTGCTAGCGGCCGTTGGACTGGTAGTGATCACAGGTTCAAGAGATCCTAGGCTGAGGTCCTGTGGCTTATCTCATTGCAGTGGTTCCTCTCCATCACCCCTGCATGAATTTCAGTTACCCCAACTCACCTACAATCTGGAAATATTAAATGGAAAAATTCAAGAAATAATCAGTTCATAAGTTGTTTTGTGATGTTTCATTGAGATTTCTGAGGATCAGGAGGCTGCCTCAAGTTAGGCAAGTGCTTTGCCACTGAACTATATCCCAGGCCCTATGCATGAATTTTTAAATTGTACAGTGTTCTGAGTAGTGGAGTGAAGGCTCATGTGATCCTACCCCATCCTGTCCCAAACATGAATCATCTGTTTGCCTAGAATATCCACGTTGTGTACTGTACCCACCCATTGGCCACCTAATAGGTTATCAGATTAACTGTCACAGCATCACAGTGCTTGAGTTCAAGAAACCTTGATGTCCCTTACTAACATCCTTAAGGTGGTAATGTAAAGGAAGCACCGGGGCATACAGTTTAGGACCAATAGCTCTGGCATAGGTGACAATACTGCAGGACATGTAGGAGAGTGCACAGAATACATAGTAGGTGGTCAGTACCATCTGTGGTTCCAGGGATCCATGGGGGTGGTAGAACATATCTCCTAAGAAACCCTCCGTGGGGGACACTGTACCAATTTTAGTTTTACAATAAGAAACCTGAAGCTTGTTGATGAGGTAGCTTGCCTAGCCTCTTCACTGGTCATCATGTGACCAGGACCTGAACTGAGGTGGTCAGATGCTAAAGCCCCATGTAACAGGTGTGCCTGGCTTACAGAGCTCTTGCTTACAGTCTATGTTTTCTACTGAAGCCCACCATGATTGATCATGTACCCTGCACAGGCCACCGACTGCCATCAAAGCGTAGACCCACACTTTATTTCCATAATCCCCTCAGACTCTGAAACTGTGTGATAGTGTTTTAACTTGAGATGTTTTTATTACATGAGGCTTATGAGAGAATGTTTCAGGGAAAAAAATTGTTGTTACAAAACTACCAGATTATCTTGAGCAGTGATTTTGTTTTGGTGGTAACCTAACTATCGAATGGTAATATTATATTGATTTTATGAAAACTCTGAGAATAATGAAAAAAAAAACCAATGGATCCCCCTTATCTGAAATGCTTAGGGTCAAAAGTGTTTCCTTTTTTTCTGGATTTTGGACTGTTCACATAGACATAATATTTTAGGGATGGGATCCAAATCTAAATACAAAACTCATTGTTTAGTAGTTATTTTATATGAACAGCCTGAAGGAAAATTTTATTTGATAATTCTAGGGGGCCTGCATCTTGACTATAATCCATCATATGACAACAGGTGTGGCATTTTCCACTTATGGCATCATGCTGGTTTTAGATTTTGGAGCATTTCAAATTTCAGATTTTCAGATGGAGCACTCATCCTATATGGCAAATTGACTGACAAAAGAGTTTCCACTTCTTATAGCTATGAAGTTTTATACACACACACACATATATATAGCTACCAATTCTACATTCTACACTAATTGTTATATTAACATTATACATAAATTTGGATATTAACAAATAGTTTTAGGAAGACCAAGAATAAAAGCAGCAGAACAAGACCTTTACTTTCTCAGTTCCTATTGGAGGGGAGTTTGGAACCTGGAAAGTTTCTTTACCTAGTCTAACTATTTAAAACATATGAAGAGAGCTGATGATGTAGTTCAGTGGTATAGCATTTGCCTAGCATGTATGAGGCCCTGGGTTCAATCCCAGCATTGAAAAAGACTAAAAAATAAAATAAATGCACAAAGAAAAGATACATATATAAAACAGGCAAAGAGTCAGCCTATAATTCTGGCTGCTTGGGAGGCTAAGGCAGGAAGGCTACAAGTTCAAAGCTTGCCTAGACTACAGAGTGAGTTCAAGTTAGCCTGGACAACTTAGTGAGGCCCTGTAAAACAGGTCTAGGGATATAGCTTAGGGGTGGAGCATTTGCCGAGGATGCATGATGCCCTAGGTTTAATGCCCAGGACTGCCAAATAAATACAAAATAAATCAGGCAAAGGTTAAAATTATAATTATATGCTTTTGACATACCCATTCAAGAAAATTAATGAAGTAAACTCCCTTGTTTTATGATGCCCCATATGAAACCCATGTAGCTTAATGAGAGGCCATTAGACTGGATCAGTACAAAGAGTCAGTAAGACCTGAGAAGAAAGTACTTGAGAAGAAGAGAGAGCTGGGGAGATGGCTCAGTCAAAAAAGCACTTGACCTGCAAACACAACCTGAATTGGATCCCCAGGACTCATGTAAAGAAGGGCAGGCATGGTAGCATGTGTTTATAATCACAGTGCAGGGGACATGAGACACATGGATCCCCGGAGCTTACTGGCCAGACAGGCTAGCCTAATTGGTAAACTCCAATCCAGCGAGAAACCCTGTCTCAAAAAAACAAATTAGGCAGGTAGCTCCTGAGGAATGATAGCTGAAGTTGTCCTCTGGCCTCTACATGCTCTCACACACGTGCATGTGCACCCATACATACATGTGTACCTGCACACATGCAAAAACACACACACAAACATATACACAATCCAAAGAAAAGAAGAGAAATGACTCCAACAAATAGATTGCATGAATGACTAAGAAGTCACAGAATGCCTGGTGTCCTGGTTTGTTTCTCCGTTGCTGTGACAAAATACTCTGACCAATACCAACTTGGGGAGGAAAGGGTTTATTTTATCTTACATCTCCTGGGTCACAGTTCATCACTGAGGGAGCCCAAGGTAGGAACTCAGGGCAGGAACCCGGTGGTAGGAGTTGGAGCACAGGCCATAGAGGAACACTGCTTACTGGCTTGCTCCCTGGCCCCTGCTCAGCCTGCTTTCTTATGCAACACAGGCCCACCTGCCCAGGGGTGGCACCACCCACAGTGGGCTGGGCCCTCCCACATCAACAATCAAGAAGGTGCCCCATGGACATGGCCACAGGCCAGTCCAATGAAGGCAATTCCCCAATTGAGGGTCCCTCAACCCAGATGTGTCAAGTTGACACTAAAGCTATCCAGCACACCTGGGCTGTGGGGTCAGAGCAACAAATACTATTCATAATCCTTAACAAGAAAATAGAAGGGTAATCTAAATTTTAGGAAAAAAGAAAAACTACCCACAAAAGTTAAGATTTAAGAGTGTGATTCAAATTTAACTTTGGGATGCTTTAGTGACTGATGGAGCATAGAGAAGTGCTGATCAAAGGCAGCGGCTCTCCCTCTGTGGGCCAGGCCATCACTTCGCTCTCTAGGCAGAGCCCAGCGGAGTTCTGTAAGTCACTAAATTTAGCCTTGGAACACTTCATGCACAGTCTACTTACACTGAAGTGTTGTTTTTTTTTTTTTTATATAAAATACCTTCCGTTTCCTTCACTAAAGGTGTCATATTTTATTTACATATGTTAATTTATTATTATATTTTAATTTAGCAATGCATTTACTTTGGTTGTGTGATTGGTTTTTATGGTGCTGGAGATCAAGCCTAGGGACTCATCCACACTAGGCCAGTGCTCTTGCACTCAGCTAAACATCCATCCTGACTTTCTTGCTTTGAAATTTAGTTTTAGAACTTTGCTTTTCAAAGTCAGGATTATAGATATAGAAATGATTTCCATTTCTCTTTTAAAAAATCAGTGGCATTCTGTTTTTTGTTTGTTTGTTTGTTTGTTTGTTTGTTTTTTACTGCCAAGGCATCAATCACAGAAAAGCACAGATCATCAGAGCAGGAATAACACAACTCAGGCTCCTTGATTATTGATTGACAAGTTGACAAGTGTCAAGGGTCTAACTTTACATCTTTAACTATACAGCCAGTCTTCCATAGCCAAGGAATTCACATTCTTGAAATAGACAAAATAACATCAACTGTGTTTTTAGGGGCTGGCAAAATGGTTCAGTGGATAAAGGTGTCTGCTGCCAAACCTGATGATTTAAAACATATGGATGTGCCTAGATTATATGCAAATAATGTGTCATCTATGGACCATAAGCATCCACAGGTTTAGGTGTCTACAGTTGGTGAGGGAGTAACCAGGAAGGATTCAATTAACTAAGGAGGGAAGACCAATCCTAATTTTGGGTAGCACCATCCCATAGATTAATGGCACAGATCAATAAAAATTGCAGCTCTTTCTATACATTGTCTCAGATCAAGTTAATCTATGACCAAAATATGATTAGTGATAATATTGCTAATCATATAACTGATAATGTTCCACAGGGCCTGAGGCTTTTCTACTATGAGCCGCTGGACATCCTCCACCAGGACTACCCAGGCTACCAAGTCTACCCAGGCTACCAAGGCTATCCAGGCTACCAAGGCTACCAGGGCTACCAAGGCTACCCAGGCTACCCAGGCTACTGGACATCCTCCACCAAGTCTACCCAGGCTACCAAGGCTACCAGGGCTACCAAGGCTACCCAGGCTACCCAGGCTACCAAGGCTACAAAGGCTACCCAGGCTACCAAGGCTACCCAGGCTACTCAGACTACCCAGGCTACCAAGCCTACCAAGTCTGAGAACTTTTATTGTCCAGCAAGTTACAAACAAACAAACAGGAGCTTTGAGGATGTTTTTCAGGTTGTCTACATATGTTTTGCCATGATGCAGTTGTGACCTATTGTTCTTACCATATGTATAAGAAATACTGACATCTCTCCTCATCCATGGATTCACTTTTTGGGATTTCATTTATGCTGGACTATTCATGGTCTGGAAATAATTCACAAGTTTTAAATAATACTTATTAAAATATATGTTTAAAATTATTTTATTTTATTATTACAATCTTATTGTACATAATTTGTAAGTTAAACTGGGTCATAGATACAAACATTTATATATATATAAAAAAAAAAGGGAGGGAAGGAGGAAGCCCAAACACAAGTTCTCGTTCTCTCCCTCTCTTCTCTCTCTCTCTCTCTCTCTCTCTCTCTCTCTCTCTCCTCTCTCCCTCTCCTCTCTCTCCCTCTCCTCCTTCCCTCCCTTCTTCCTGGCTGCCAGTATGTGAGCTGATTGACTCTACCCCCCACTATGATGGAATGAATATAAACCCTTCTTCCCTTAAGTTATTTTCTTAGTTATTCTGTCACAGCAGCAAAAAGTAACCAGGAACTGAGGAACTGAGGGACAACAGTACTGGGAATTTTTTCTAGGAGTACCATAGCTTAAAACTTGATTTGTTTTTTAACATCTGTAGGTTATCATGGGGATTTTGCTCCCCCCAACCATCTTGTTTTTGGAATTCCGTACATATGATGACTTCTCATACCAAACATCCAAGGAAAATGAAGAAAGCAAAGAAGAGGAGAACATGGTCAGTGACACCCTGACCCCCAGAGGGTCACCGGGCTCTCATTTTCAATGTTCAAATCTGTCTTACCAACCATGGATTTAGAAAGCTTGCTACTGGGTACACTTTGAGGATTCTCCCTTGTTGAAGGTGACTTTGCTGGAGGCTGTACCTCCCATCTGCAGCCTGACTGCCATGTCCTATGCTATTTTCCAGGATGCAAATGCAGATGCTGACTCAAGGAAGGGGGACGAGGAGAATGAGCACAAAAAGCAGAGGAGCATTCCCATTGGAACGAAGATCTGCGAGTTCTATAATGCACCCATTGTCAAGTTCTGGTTTTACACAGTAAGGCCCTCCCTGCCAACTGCCACTGTGCATATTGGGAATTCTGAGCTGTACTGGAGTCAAGAAAAATGTCAAAAGCTTTGAAAAGTGTTCAAAGATTCGCTGAACTAAAATGAACTGTAAAAACAGAACTAGGGCTAATTGAGAGCTTTAGCTAAAATTAGATCTAGATATATTGTCATATACATTTTATATATGCAGATATAGCCATCCTAGCCCCAAATATACCATTTTATGAAGCAAAATAGTCACATTTTATTTTCCTAATAAGTAGGGTTTTTTTAAATGCTTTTAGTAATACAAACTTAAGGAAGATCATTTGTTTTTAAATAAACAAAGGTGGCTAGTGAATTAAAAAGCACCTAAACCAATCAACTTATAGAGAGAAAGGGTTTATTTTGGTTCATAGTTTTGGTGTTTCAGTCCATAGACAGTTGCTTTTGGATCTGTGACAAGGCAGCACATCATGGCAGGGATTCTGTGGCAGAATAAAACACCCCCCTCACAGCCAGGGAGCAAAGGGGAAGAAGGACGAGAGCTCCAACGTCCCCTTCATAGGCACAGCCCCAGTGACCTAATACCTCTTACTAGGCCCCAGCTGTCAAAGGCTGCATCTCAGTCTGGGGACATGTGGGTCTATGGGAGCATTTTAGATAGAAATTATATCATGGCTGAATCCAGATCCTAAGCACTCTGAGAAGAGAGAGGCAAAGCAAAATCTTTCTTCTCTAAAGTGCTCACTCAACTGATATGCTTGGCGGTAGCAGGTCACTCTGCACCCCCTCTGGTGTCCAGCTCTCCTCTGCTCTGGGAATGTGGTTCACTGGTAACAAGAGCAGAAGGGAGCGTCTGTGATGGAACTGGCTTGCCTTCAGGTGTGCCAAGCTATGGTGTATTGGAAGGCATGACCTGGTACATGATAACTTGGTACCATGTCAGCCTGGAGAGCAGGCTTCAGAGAACCTCCCTCTAGTCATACCCCTCCTCCATGTGCCTTGCCTCTCACTCACCGCCAACTCTACTTCTTTCTTTGTCAAAAAGATAGAGAACCTCTTGTGGCCACAGAATATCATAGACTCAGTCACTGGAAACCCAGGGGCTCTTAGGTTAGCTCTGTGGGACGTAGCAGAGCGTTCACCCAAACTTTCTTCTAACTTCTCAGTCATTCATCCATAGTGGAGAGATTCAAGAGGCAGTTATGTGAAGCAGGAAGATAGATAACCTTTGTTTTCCCAAAACGTAGAAGACACACCAGCAAACTGTTGAAAATTCCCATGTGTTATAATTTCTACAGCTTCACCAAGAAATGTATCTTCAGAAAGAACACTGAATGTCAGGGCCCACTTGTACTAAAGTGCTGAATGCATCCAGCCTATCTTGAAGTTTTCTTTCTGCACTGGTGATGTGCAGGGAGGGAGGATATCCACTAAATAAGTCAGAATTGTGGGAGGAAAAGTTATTCCTTGTAGAAGAAGCATCCGGTGGTATTCCCTGAGACACAACCAACAGCTTTTCCTTCTTCAGATCTCATACTTGGGCTACCTGCTGCTGTTTAACTATGTTATCCTGGTGCGGATGGATGGATGGCCTTCCCCACAGGAGTGGATTGTCATCTCCTACATCATGAGCCTGGCATTAGAGAAAATACGAGAGGTGATTATTCCAAAGGCTTATCCCACCCAACTAACCCCTGAATTCAGATTCAGATTTGATTATACGTTTCATGCAAGTGTTAAGTACTTGGGACTTTCCGCGTGAGGCAACACTATGCCAAGTTAGCTCCACTCACTTGTTTCAGATGTATACACCTCCTTCCGACTAAGTTTGAACTCATGATTCAAAACACAAAGCAAAACAAATGACATTTGATATTAAAAATTGGCTTGAGCGTGTGGGAAAAGCTATAGCAAATGCTGCCAGACACTTAAGATAAAGCAGGTTTTGCACATGGCTAAAAAATGACTGTTTCTGGGATCTGAGACTAAAAGTAGAGGAATATAGGAGATGGCATCTGTATTAAAATACTGTGTGTGTGTTAAAATACTGTGTGTGTGGGTGGGTGTGTTGTATGTATGTGGGTATGAGTATGGGTATTGCCCAGGAGGATGCACTTGCCCATGCTGGCACATGTGGATGTGTCCAAGATGTCTTTCCTCAATCACTTCTCCCCCTTCTTATTCGAACAGGCTCATTTACTGGACCTGAAGCTAGCTGCTTTGGATAGACTGGCTGGCCAGCAAGTCCTTCTTCCACTCCCTTCATCACTGGGGTTACAGGCACATACCATCATGTCCAACTTTTATGTGTGTTCCAGGATTCCAGACTCAGGTCCTGGTGCTTATGCAGAGTCCATGGATGGCAGCTTTGCTGTAACTGGGGACTTTGGATCATACTGTGCACATATATAGCCAGACTCTTGTGCGAGAGGTGTATGGAAGGAAGGCTGTCAATGAGAGGGAGAGAGGGAGTCCACAGAAGGTGCTGCATGAGGTGACACTTCAGGAAGAAGTATTCTCAGTGATCCACCCTGAGAGGAGGAAATCGAGTTTTATACCCACATCAGTTGTTTGGCACCCAGCAAAGGGGTGGCTCCAACTGCCCAAGGGCAAGCCTCCCAGAATAGCGCAGGTATGGGCCTAACAAGAGCACTTGCAGCAGATAGGTGTGCTTGTGCACTTGGTGAAAAGCTCCAGGGAATCTGGGTAGTGTCCAGAGCATCTGCTGCAAACACGGAAACCCAGATTTTAAACTAAGTGTTGGAAAAGAACAGACACCCTCTCACACGTGACTCATATCACAGAGAACTTGCAATTAAAATGGAAAGCCAAGAAGGCAATTTCTACAGGTAGCAGAGGAAATATGGACCAGGTGCTTTGCTTTCTGCTGTCATCCATGAGTTTGAATTCACTATATTCACTTGTTGAGAGAAATGTGTATTCAGGCCGAGCATAAACTTGAATGGGAAAAGCACACAGCACAGGTTGCTAATCTTACACCAACTGATACAGAGCCAATATTATTATTATTAGTTTGTAATTACTATTGAGTATCATTGAATTAAGCAATATGACTGGCAACCTCATCCAGGCAGAATGACTTTGATGCTGAGAGTCTCATGAGGGCAGACAAACAAGAGTGCTGAATTCAAAACTCTACATCCTGCCTTCTTCTATGACCTTCTAGCTGGGCTCTGTCAGCTTTCTATGGAAGCCACAACTGAGACTTCCCAAGAGGATTGCCTTACCATCTGCAGTGTCACTATGATCTTTTACATTTTATTTATTATTATTGGGTATCCATGATATAGGAGGGGGGCATATGTGCCATGGCTCACATGTAGGGGTCAGATAATAATTTGAGAAGAGTTAATTCTTTCCTTTCACCTTTATCTGGGTTCCACGGCTTGAACTTGGGTCACCATGCTTATGCAGCAAATGTTTTTACTCACTAGCTGTCTCACTGGCCCGCCACCATGATCCAGGGCCTGCCTCTCAGTTATAGGGGAGAGAGGGCAGCCATCAGCCAGTGCACAGGATTTGTGAAGACAGTGAACCCTTTGGTGTTGGCTGATAGACAGCCACCACCCCATAGGCCCTGGGATTCTGGGATCTACCAAAGATCTCCAGAGCTAAAGGGTAACCCTGGCGCAGCTGCCTTGCCCCCTCTGCCACACCTCTGCTGTGCCTGTCAAGACTGCATGTGCATGATTCTGCTTGTTGCTCACTGAATGGTTTCCATTTTGCCCTGTGGAAGTCTCCTTTTAACCAGTAGTGATTTAAAAGGATAATATCTCAAGCAGGGGAAAAATCTGGTTCAACTTTCCCTGATTTCTCACATCTAAGTTGCAAAGGAATTTTGGCAAGACCACGTTTTCCAGGCTTGTTCAGCCATCTCCACCAGGTGGGTTGTCCCTCTGTGGGAACATAGGACTCATTCCCACTCTAGAATTCTCCTCCTTTATAATTCTGGAATCTGAGCCAATAGGCATGCATCCAGATAGTTAGAAAGGAAATCAAAAGGCAGCTGCTTTAATTACAGTCAGAAGGAGATAATTTGGAAGGCATTTCCTGAGAGTCTACGAAACCCTGGATCTAAGGATACAGAAGATTCCATGGAATTTCCCTTTCTAGATATCTCCCTTTGCCTGAAAAAAAATAATGTTTAGAGATCTTGAGCAGGAAGGGGACCAGATGCCCTGGAATGTTCCACCACCCTTATCTTTCCAAGATTCTAATGAAGACAAGGATCCCAATAGGAGCCTCTTTATTGTTCTTTGGGGTTTGTTTTCAGATCCTCATGTCAGAACCAGGCAAACTCAGCCAGAAAATTAAAGTCTGGCTTCAGGAGTACTGGAACATCACAGACCTCGTGGCCATTTCCATGTTCATGGTGGGAGCAATCCTCCGCCTCCAGAACCAGCCATACATGGGCTATGGCAGGGTCATCTACTGTGTGGACATCATCCTCTGGTACATTCGTGTGTTAGACATCTTCGGTGTCAACAAATATCTTGGCCCCTATGTGATGATGATTGGAAAGATGGTTAGTAACCCCTCCTGTGAGTAGTCAGATATTTTGGCTTGGATTAGGGTACCAGACCAGACTGGGGTGTGGCTTCCTTTGATTTCATTTGGTCTTTCCTTTGCAGCTGATTTCTTAACAATAACAGTTGTCCTGCATGTTGACAGCCTAGTAAACTTCAACAGGAAACCACGATTTGAAGGCTATTCCATATATACCCCTACTTACATATGTATTTATCTCTCATTATGTACAGAGACTCAGCACATACCTTCTTCCTTCTCCATAACATATTTAATCTATAAATGACTAACTACTTTCATTTATCAAGTTTGTTCTGATTTGTTCCTGATTATATTTTGATAGTAAGATAAAAGAAAATATCCTCCTCTTTTGTAAAAACTTGTTTCATCTTACCAGGACACAAGAGAGCTTAAGTTCTTTGATGAAATAAGACTCTAATAGCAAAAATTTTATATCAACATATTTAACTCTGTATCTTGGTGGCTGGAAATGTCATGGGCATCTTTAACACAGGGGTCTGGATTTCATGTTTTATGAAGCTGCATCCAGTTCAAAAGGTTTTCATAGTAAAAATCTGATTGATATCTTCCTAACCTTTGGCAGAAGCCAGAGACAAAGGGGCCCAATGCTCCTACCTGTATCCTGACAATTTTTGGCTCATGTGCCCTGGCCTGGGATGATAGACACAGGTACTTGTGTGACTAGTCCAAGATAAATCCATGGTGACATTTGGTCCAGCACAGGTCACAGAATGTGAAATTAACCCTAACCAGCCGGCCTTCCCTACATTACTAAAACAGCCTCAGTGCCAGAACTAGTCCCAGAAGAAAGGAAACTAAAGGAATAACCAGTTATTTGAACTACAGAGCATATGGTTTAGTTAATACCAGTAAGGGCCCTCATCCTCAGGACATTTGTTGTTCAAAAGTTTGGGGCTGGGGGATTATTTCAGCTAGTAGGGTGCTTGCCTAGCATTCATGAGGCCCTGGGTTGATCCTTAGCATCACAAAAAGAAAACAAAGAATGAAAAAAGAAAACAGAAATTGAACCAGTTTAGCATCCAGAGCATGAACCATTTTGCATTTGTGCAATGAATATTAGTGTATACACTCAGTATCATTTAATTTTCAGGAGATATCCTACCCTTGCTCTTATTTCTTATTTTATGTTAAAAATGCCCATATTTTCTGATTTCTTCTCTTTTACTATCTGTAATTATAGACAGAAAAGGAGTGTCTGTTTCTGGATGTATCAATCAGCTTTTTGTCACTATAACAAAATATAACTTATAAAAGAAAACATTTATTTGGGCTCACGATTTTAGGGGTTGTAGTCATGGTTGGCTGGTCTGTGCTTTGGGTCTGTGGCAAGGAAGCAGTTAATGGTAGGGGAATATGGGAAGCAAACACAGAGCGAAAGGCAGACAGCAGATGGGAAAGAGAGAGGAAGGGGGCGGGGTCCAACCTCCAACCTGATGACTCAAGAACCTCCTACAAAGCCCCTTTTCTCAAAGATTCCACCCCATCCTGCAGACCCAATAGTGTCACCTTGGAAACTAAACCTGCAACACATGGTCTTTGGTTAGGCACATTCTAGATCCAAACTATAGCAACAATGGGCCATAAATGAAAAGCAAGAAGGATCAGGGTAGCAGTGTCTACAATAACACACATGCATTGCATGGGGAGTAAAAAGCTATTAGCCTGTGGATGAGAAGAAAAGGAGGGACACAGGCTTTCCTCATCCATAAGTCAGTAAGGTGACATCTTTGAAGAGGGCAGTACAATGAGCTGGTAAGAACTTGGCCCTCGAGTATTGACAGTGACTTGTGCTCTTCCTTCTCAGATGATTGACATGCTGTACTTCGTGGTCATCATGCTGGTGGTGCTGATGAGTTTTGGAGTAGCTCGCCAAGCCATCTTGCACCCAGAGGAGAAACCTTCTTGGAAACTGGCTCGAAACATCTTCTACATGCCTTACTGGATGATCTATGGAGAGGTGTTTGCAGACCCGATAGACCGTAAGACTAGAATTCATAGTAAGACTCTCTTCCTTGCTTCCAAGGCAGATGATCAGTTCCAAATTAATGAAAGAGCATGTATTAATTTGGAAGTACTTTTTATTCTGTCACAGGCACTGAATTACTTTAAGAAGAAATAAGTAGAGATTGTGAAATGTAGATTTTGAGGTATCGGTCGTTTGTTATTCTCTGGAAACCATTCACTGGTATTCTGAGTCTCACTTCTCTTGAGCTAGAGCTGGCAGACACTGCATCACATGATGCAGCCTCAGGGCCAATATCCTAATTCATCTTCAACCCTAATATCTTCCCACCCCAGGAGAAAGCCAGTCCTGTTATTCCAGCAGCAGGAAGCAGCAGACCCAGTGGGTACCTCGCCTGGCCCTCTTCTTCAAACCATGACAGTCCATTTCCCACTTACTCTCCATTTCTTCTTCACTACTGGTGCTCTTTTTAAAATTTTATTCACTTATTCTTCTTAACTGACATAGTTTTACATATTCATGGGGTACAAGGTGATTATGTGATACATGCATACAGGAGTACTATTTTTTTTTTATTCTCAACAATAACGTGGGAATTAGTAGGCTGCAAGCTAGCCTGGACTCTAAGACCTAGCCCCTCTGCAGGCAGGGCTGGTAGGTGGTAGTGTCTCCCAGGTTGTGAGGTGTGAAGTTCAGATATTCACAAGACAATTCACCAGGACCATCGGGTCTCCAGTGAATAAGGCGCTTCAGTCCCATTTTCACACACCACATTTTCATCTGTGGGCTATGCTTTATCACAAAGCCCCAAATCCAATAACATTTCTGCTTCCTCAAGATTCTACCCTTCGAGAATGGAGGGTCTGAAACACCCTCCTCTCACGTGAAACACAAGGTTGTCAATACATCTACTGCTACTGGGTTAAACAGGCGTCTTCTTTTTAGCTTTTATAAGGTGATTCTGAACACGGCATTACTACAAATATCACAAAGTTTGTGGTTATTACAAATATCACAAATATCACTGGTTATAGCTTTGTAAATCAAAGTCTAATTTGGTTTCAAAAGCATATAACATATATTTACATTTTCCATATTTTTTCTCTTAACTTTTTTAGTTACCATACAAATTAATGGGTTTCATTATGACATTTTGATGCACACGCATCATTACACCGTGCTCTTATTTGCCCCTCACTATCCTCCCTGTTCCTCATTCCCCTCTCTTACTGTTCCCTTTCCTTCTCCAAACAGTCCCCTTTCTGTGTTCATATCATATATGTGTGCATATTTAATGTGTGTGTATATGCTTTTTAATATGTATATATTTGATCACGATTCTGCATGAGAGAAAAGATATTTTGTTTTCTCTGCATTACATCTTTCATCCCCTCCCGTCATTGTATATACACATATATGTACATCTACCTAGCTTGCCCATATGAGATAAAAACATGCATATTTGTCTATCTGAGCTTGCCTTGTTTCACTTAACATGATCTTGAATTTTAACCATCTCTTACAAATGACACAATTTCATTCTTCTTTATGGGTAAATAAAATTCCATTATGTACGTACTACATTTCCTTTATGCATTCATCTATTGATAGACACCTATGTTGGTTCCATGTCTTAGCTCTTATCATGACTCATGCTACAATAAACATGTATATGTAAGGATCTCTATGGTAAACATACATAAGTACACATTTTTTTTAAAGTTTTTGGATTTCCTTTATCATCTCTAATTTTATTAATTTGGATTTTCTTTTGGTTAATTTTACCACCCCCTCTGAAGTTCATGGAAAATTTCGAAAGGGGGTTTGGAAGCTTGTAAGAGCCATAGATAGGAAGAAGGGCTGTGAAATGCCATTTTCTAGACTTAATACAGCTTTGCAATTATTAGCCTGCAACAACTGTGGTTACCTGTATCAGAACCACAGAAGGCCCACCCTGTCGACAAGAAGTCAAGGAAGAGGAAGGAATTCACAGGACCAATTCTTTACCTCTGAATTGTCAGCTATTGATAGACTCTGGAAGAGGAGGAACCATGGTCTTTAGTTGTGTATCCACTGCTGTATTCACTAGGCTCCAACAGATAGCTCCAAACTCACGGTCACACAGACAACCCTGGTTAATCTCAGTTGGTCACAAAGCAAAATGAGTAGTCATGAATATGAGGGAGAGATTTGTGGGGAGTGGAGGTTAATGGGGGTGGTATGGAGGTGGCAGGTGAGAGTGGTCTTTTTTTTTTTGACACAGGGTCTCCCTGTAGCCCAAGGTGGCCTGGAACTCACTATGTAGACCAGGCTGGCCTTGAACTCACAGAGATCCATCTGCCTCTGCCTCCCGAGTGCTGGGATTAAGGGCGTGCACCACCACACCTGGCAACATATATTATTTTTTAAAAAACCAAGTTTCTGGACTCTAGACATAGTTGTAATATTTCTATTAATCCATTTTTTTTATTAACCTGGGTAATGAGAGTCTATAGAGGTAAGCAAAAGACTATACTTTTTCTAGTAACACCATTAAATGTAGTTTTTCAGTTCTTCATCTGACTGTTACAAGATAACTTTGTGTCTATTTGTGCTGACAAGTTGTTGGTGATAGAATATGAGGAATGGTTCAACCAGAAAGTTAAAATGATCATCTGCCAGTAACATCATGTCTTTTCACAGTGTTTAAACTTGTGAGCTTTTGCTGTTGCTTATAGACATATGGCAAGATAAATATTCATGAAATGCATTTCCCAGAATTAATAATAGGTACAATTATTCTAAGCAGAGCACTCTTCCAAGCATCGGTCTGCAGTTCTCAAAGTTGAAGTCTCTGCATCTCTTAGCAGCAAAGCAATGCTTGCGTTATTAAGTCATTCATTTTATGTCCTCTCAACTACTGTCTGGTTTCTTCCCTCCCCTCCTGCCACAAATGAAAACAAAACGTGCCTCCTGTTACCCAATCATTGCATAGTCTACGCCATGGAAATTAACCGTAAGTTTACATGGAATTGGTCGTTTGAGTTCATGAAATGTTTTATTAAATAATCCTTCCCTTAGCTGATTACTGAGTCTCATCATGTTTTCATATACTGGTTTTCTTCTGTCCATACTTTTTAAACTGCAAGTACAAAGTAAGCAGACAATAAATTCAACATTCAACAAGATCCAATTCAACACTGGCTCTTCCTATTTTCCCCCACTTTGGGAAACTTGTTTCCTATAATAAAAGTGGCATTACAAGCGAGCAGAGGGAGAAAAGCATGTTTCAAACATGATCCTATAACAGTTGATCTGAGAAGGTGGCGGGGATCCCATCCCCACATTTCAAAACAAAATTGTTTTCAAAGTTAATGTACAAATACAACCAAGAAAACAAGAAGGGGCATAAGCTGAAGGTAAACAGAAGACAGGACAAGTTTCTCTTTTTTAAAAAAATTATTTATTTGCCTGTGTGTGTGCCTGTGTGTGTGTGCGTGTGCGTGTGCGTGTGTGTGTGTGTGTGTGTGTGTGGGGGTTAGAGGACAACTTGGGAAAGTCAGTTCTCTCCTACTACATAGGGTCCAGGGATCAAACTCAGGTCATCAGGCTTGGTGGCAAGTGCCTTTACCCACTGAGCTATGTCCCCAGCCCAGTAGTGCTTTTTTTTAAGTTTCTAATAGACAGTATAGAAAGACACCATAACAGTAGATTTGTCGCTGGGTATGGTGGTGCATGCCTTTAATACCAGCACTCAGGAGGCAGAGGCAGGCAGATCTCTGTGAGAGTTGAAGGCCAGCCTGTTCTATATAGCAAGTTCCAGGCCAGCTGGAACTACAGGGAAACCCTGTCTCAAACACACTTCCCCCTCCAAAAGGAATGAAAGACATAATAATGGTAGATTTGTCTGTTTAATAATTAAGAACTTGAATATGTGGGATTGGGGATGTGATTCAGTTATAGAGTGCCTGCCTAGCATGTGCAAGGCCAGACCCTAAGTTCATTCCCCAACACTATCAAAACAAACAAAACCCCAAACTTCTAGTTCTTTTTTATGTATATATTTTTTGTTTTTGTGCATTTCATATAATAGATCTTAATCAAATTTAGACCCCTCCCCCATCTATACCCCATAACCCTTCCCCACCTGCACCACCATGCCCCCCTCCACTGAATTTCATGCATTCTGCCATATATATTAAGGCCTATCTGGTCAAGCATTTGTACCCAGATGTCCCTTGGTGCAAGTTCACCCACTGGAGCCTGGGCAGCCTATCTAGAATCACTCCCTTAAAGAAAATTAACTCTCACTCACCCTGCAGTAATCGATTGGCAATCTTTCCCTGGCTAAGGTTGCCCATTTCCCAAGTTCTATGCTGGGTTTTGTCTGATTAAGTGAGGAGGGGTCTTGTGCATTCTGTCACCATTGTTGCAAAACTTCTAGTTTCTAAATTTGAAAAAAAGTGGTATGGAAATAGAAAATGTTTACATATATGACCAAGCTAACTATGACCATCTCAGAATGAAAATATGAGTTTTATAACCTTTGTATTATTTGGTATTTTTCACTTAGAAAATTATTGTTTATGAAATACAAAAGTTATATTAGATTCAAGTGTGGCAGTCTATTCGTATAATCCCAGCACCTGGGAAGCTGAAGCAGAAGGTTTTCAAGTTTGAGGCCAGCCTGGGCTACATAGTAAGAATTTGTCTCTGGGGCTGGAGAAATGGTTCATTAGTTAAGAACACTGGTTGTTCTTGCAGAAGACCCGGGTTTGAATCCCAGCACCCACATGGCAGCTAACAACTGTCCATAACTCCAGTTCCAGGGGATCCAATGGCCTCTTCTGTCCTCCGTGGGCATTGCCCGACACGGGTGCACTTACCTACATGCAGGCAATACACTCATTCACATAAAATAAAATAAAATAAAATATTTTTTTAAAAAAGAATTTGTCTCAACAAAACGGACTGGGCTAGGGAGATGGGTCAGTCAGAACAAGCAAGCATGAGGACCTGAGGTCAATCCCCAGAACCTAGGTGAAAGCCAGCTACAGCAGCACATACCTGTGATCCCAGCTCTGGGGAGGTGGAGACAGGAAGACCTGGGGTTTACTATCTCTAGTCTAGCCAAAGCAGCAAGGTCTGGGTTCACTGAGAAACCTTGTCCCCCCAAACTGAGGCAAAGAACAATTGAGGAAGATACTCAGTGTTGACCCCTGGCTTCTACAGGTACATGCAAATGTGCACACACAAACACAAATGTATACACTTACAAAAGAAATCAGTGAATTAAAACACAGTTAACAGGTATTTATTCTTTTCACTATATGTACAAAACAAGCCCCAAAGACAAGCTTTTCTTTCAGCTCCTTGTGGCGAAAATCTCTATGATGAAGATGGCAAGAGGCTCCCTCCCTGCATTCCTGGTGCCTGGCTCACACCTGCCCTCATGGCCTGCTACCTCCTGGTGGCCAATATCCTGCTGGTTAACCTACTGATTGCTGTTTTCAAGTACGTGTAATGACTGATGATTACATGGCTATTGTTCATTGTGCTATAGATTTCCAGTTTAATCCCAGAAAGCTTCAGTGCCACCTACCATGCATTTTCAGACTTCACTAGAGCTTTTAAATGGATTTTTTCTGTCTTTTTGCTCAACCTCAATCAGTCTTAATGTAGTCATAAACCAAGAGTTGACACTTAAATACATTTAAATTTATCTTGGTTAGTATTTTAACACTGTACATATTTTAATCTAATGAAAATATTTTCTGAGGCAGAAGTCTCCTGAGGTAAAGAAGATTTGAATGCGTTATATTTTTCATTTACTACCAGAGGCACCCAAAGCAGTACTAATGTCACAAGCTGTTAGGATTTAATATAAAAGCTATCATATCTTATCATTTAGAGCAATAGATAAAGTGGCTTAAATTATTGAATCAAGTTTCTTATAAAACTTGCCCACTTGGCATGCACTGAGTATATTGACAATGCTTAATAAATGTTGAAAAATATATTTTAGCTTCAGGGCTGGAGTGATGGCTCAGCAGTTACAGCCATGAGCATTGGCTGCTCTTCCAGAGGGCCAGTGTTTGGGTCCCAGCACCCACATTGTGGCTAACACCCATCCTTAACTCCAATTCCAGGGGATCTGATGCCCTCTTCTGGCCTCAGGCACTGCATGCACATGGTGCACTTACATACATGCAGGCAAAACACTCATACACATAAAATAAAAATAAAATATTTAAAAATATATATATTATATATACATTAGCTTCTAAAATGGGCTTGGAGAAGTGGAGGTAGGAGGATCAGGAAGGAGTTCAAGGTCATCCTCAGCTACATAGCAAGTTCAAGGCCAGCTTGGCTTATGAGACCCTGTCTCAGAAAACAAAAAAGCTTCTGAAGTGAAAAATACAAGGAAGAAAAATTCTTCCTAGAAACGTAAAGTCATAGAAGATGGGGCACTGGAGAGAGCCTGGTTCCAACTTCCGGCTTGAGGAATAAGAAGACTATGATTTAGAAACAACAGGCTTTTCTAAAGCCTTATCACTAGTAGACATGCAGCTGCATACTTACTGTCTCCTGTTGGAAGGTAAAATATGACAGATTGTATATACCCACATTTAGAATAGTACATCTTCAATCAAGCTCAATAATTAATTCAATTGCAAAGAATAAAAGTGATCATCTAAGTTGTTTAATTGAAAGTTTTAACTCTTTAATATGCTAAATTGAAACGTTCATGCTTTTACATTACAGGAAATAAAATTCCCTGAGCACATAAGTAGAGCATGGTATAGATTTTCAAGAAAGTTGTGCATACTAAAACATATTTCAAAGACTTCATATTTATATGAATAAAGTGTCTTTGAGCATAGATAAACCACAATAATGGATAAGCCAGAAGAGTAATCAAAGAGCTGACCTCGACTGGACTGTACCAAAGGCCATTTCATTGTGTACTTTTATTTAAACATGTGTAACTGATTGCTATGAAATCACAATAAAAAGTAATATAACTGTAAAAATGTCTTTTTTTAAAGCAATACCTTCTTTGAAGTAAAGTCTATATCCAACCAAGTGTGGAAGTTCCAGCGATATCAGCTGATTATGACATTTCATGACAGACCTGTCCTGCCTCCACCGATGATCATTTTAAGCCATATCTATATAATCATCATGTGTCTCAGTGGTCGCTGCAGAAAAAAAAGAGAAAGGGACCAGGAGGAACGAGATCGTGGGTTGAGTACGTTCTGGACTTCTTGCTTCTGTTTTCGGCGTAATTTCAAAATAGGGTTCCAAATTAGACTCGTTCATAAAATCGTCACCAAAATACTGATGTGGAAAACACAAAATTCCAACTGCTGAGCTTTTCAGAACGTTTTCTGGTTATTCGAGCTTTGTTCATTTGTAAATAATCAATATTGCTTAAAGTCAATTCAGGGAGACCAGAAGTTGAGAGTTCTCAAAAGTATCTCTTCCTTATACACTTCTATATGCATTCAACGCTCATTAGAAAATGCATTAACTTGTTGCATCTAAAGAGGATAAGAAAATAATGCCATATATACCTGACTACTCATTCAATAACATGCAAAAGGTGTTCTGGCAACTATTACGTGCTTTTGCCGTCCCAATAGCTGCTATTCATTTTTGGCTTTTGTATTAAAAGGTGACCCACCCATTTTGCTCCAATAGAAGGCAGAATGCTTCCTGAGACAGTCTTTCTTTTCTGGGGAGGGAGGGAGGGTAATAACTCCTTGGAGTAGTGAGGAGCGCTGTAGGAGGGCGCCTTAAGTCAGACCATAAAAATCTCAAGGGCACAACTGAAAGTTGTTCTCGTTCTCGAGCTGGCCAACTTTTTTTGCTGCACACAGAGCTGTTCCTCAGCGACGAGGAGCTGAAGAAATTGCATGAGTTCGAAGAGCAGTGTGTGCAGGAGCACTTCCGGGAGAAGGAGGATGAGCAGCAGGCATCTAGCGAGGAGCGCATCCGGGTCACCTGTGAGCGGTGCGTGGCTTGGGGTTTGAGGGCTCTACACGTCAGTCTACGCGGGTGCTAAAATTCGTTTCAAATCACTTTTTGGCTTTGGGGCCAAGATCACAGGTACTTTCAAAGTTCATTTCAACATTCATGCAGAGTTCTCCTGTCTCGTCAGACTGCATTTTAATGAATCACCCTTTGCCTTCCCCAGAAATGGTGACTGTGTATTGTATATAAATGTGCAAAATAACATTCATTTCAAGTAATTCTTCAAGAAAAACCCGTACTAGTTCTTGGGCACATTCACCAAGTGGGGTGTTCACCCCGAGTCCTGCATCAGCTACAGGAAGTCATCTTTCCCTCTAGTGTGGTGGTGCTGCCTTTGCTAAGCACGGTGTCCCCCTGGGGACTGAGCTCTCCTCCCTGCATAGTCTTTCGCCATCTCTGAGAAGCACCTTCCTCAGTCTCACAGTGCAGAGGCTCCACCTCTGGTCGCTCATGAAAGTGACACCTGGGAGGGCTGGGGTGTCCAGTGGGTGACTGTCTCCCATGAGGGTAGGAGCCTCTGAATTAAGCAGAATCTGACCTGCAGACACTTTTATAGTGTCATTACCCAGAAAATCAACACATTGCTTAATCATGCAGAACAGATGAAAAGAAGGCAAGTCAGGGAGAAACAGGGTTGACATGTCACTGGTGTGATAGTATTCCTGTACACTAAACTAGGAATAAGTAACTGGCAGAGACAGGGTAGGCAGGGACAATAAACGCTTATATGTCATTTTTTGAAATCAGAAGTTTGGAGACTCTTTATTGCTTAGGAAAAGCAATGTCAGCTTGTTAAAGATCTTGATAATGCATTGTTCCAGTGAGTTTAACTAAAGGTGTGTGTAGAAACAGATGCAGGAGACATGCCTAAGGGGATTCTGGCTCATCTTTATGTCCTTGAATACTCAGAGTTAGTGTCCTGATACCCAGACCCCAGTACGTTGAGAAACAAACATGACAGGACTTCAGAAAGACACTTCGGCAAGCAGTGGCCAGTCAGGAGTCCCAACAACTGCAACAGAACTGTCTCCCTACAGCCTGTTAGGCCACTGTTTCTGTCCCAGTCCACAGTACTGGATATGCCCAGGGCAACTTGTCCCCATAACCTTCTAATCCTACCAAACCAGGCAAACTAGGGTTTTCTGTGTTAATGTTTAAACCTTTCTTCCCTCCTTCCCTCCCTCCTTCCTGCCTTCCCTCCCTCCCTCCCTTCCTCCCTTCATTCCTTCCTTCCTTTCTCTTTCTTTTTCTTAAAGATAGTCTCATACTGTAACCCAGGCTGGCCTTAAACTCAAAAGGTGGGATTAAAGGCCTGCACAACCACACCCAGCAATAAAGTACATTTTAAATAAGACTTCAAACACTTAATTGATAGTTTTACAGTAGTTGCTAGGCTTTTAAAGCATAAAAATTATTTCTTCATAAGGTATTTTGTGTCAACTTTTTAGTTAGACATTAACTGGAATTTCATCACAGCCCCTCATTTACAATGGTAATTGTGTTCTGTTTTGCTCTGCTCTCCCCCTTCTCCCTTCCCCTAGCATTGTTTGGATTTTTACCATTCTTGGACCAATGCTTCATGAATGTGGTTATCAGCTCACTACCAAATTGCATTTTTCTCTTGGGGCTCTGCACACACGTAATAGGAATAAAAGTGTGCAGGCCATAAAAACACTCTGCTTCCTGTTTCCCTGGCTGAGGTCTCAGGAGCCAAGGGAGCACATTCCTGCCCTTCTGTTTCCATTTACTGACCTTGCCTAGACTGACTCACAGGTGAATGCCTGAGACAAGAGGAAGAGCTTGGAGAAAAAGCTTTCCTTCCCAGTAACCAGACCAGCAGAGGAGCAAGTGGAGGGAGCAAACCACTCCTTATTTCAGCCTAACTTGGGGTACCTGTGATTACTTTTAAAACAGGTGCTTGCATACGTGAACATTTCTTCTATCCCTTTTATATATTCAGTTGGTTCATTTCCTGCACCGCATTTGCCTTGGATGACTTCCTTCTTTTCCTCTCAGAGGTATCTACATCAGTGCCTCGGTGCCAGCTCTGGTCTGGCCAGGCATGCATCAGTCTTCCCTTCACCTCTCTGTTTTCTGGGTGCCTTTGCAGACCTGAGCCAGTGAGTCTCATGACTAGGTCTTCCTGACGTTCACACAGGGCATTTCACATTAGTCATGTCTTTCCACACAGGGTACATTGAGCATGTCTGTGTGGGAACCGAGCCCACGGCTTCCTGGATCTAATGCTTGGAAACAACGTGTTAAATTCTAAAAATTTAACCACACACTTTTGTTATCAATGTCAATATTTTGTAATATCTAGCCTTTAGTCCCTAGTAAGAGAATTGCAGGATGATTCAGGGTTAATGAACACAGTCCTGGATTACAGCAGAGAATTCAACCCAGAGCCCTGCCCAGCATGCCCATGGCTCTCTTAGAGACAGCACTCATAGTTCTCCTCCCATACTTAGACATCTCCTGGGCTTCAGGCTCTATGAATGGCATCACTATTCAGCTGCTTCAGCAACACAGAAATTGGAACACCAGTGTGGCTCATATTCCATATCCTAGTCTTCTTTGATTCAAAGCACCTTGTCCTTTCTGCCACAGGGATTCTGCACAAGCTGTTCCCTTCTGCCTGGTACACCTCACCCTCCTCCCCTACTCAACCTTTGGATCTCTGCTCAAATGCCAGTGCTTTATAGAAAAGTTCCCTGTCCACCTAACATGTTAAACTGGGCCAGAATTTTTGAACCCTAAGATCCATGATTGCAGCCACACCACCATGTCTGGATTTGTCCATCATGGAAGCTCCAGAGCCTTCATATCACAACATAGCAAGAAAAAAATTATAATTAATGACTCAGAAGTTTACTTCTCCTAATTGGAATGCAAATCTCTATCTCGTTCTTAGCAAGTTCCCTTGTGGAATATTGGAAAAATGGGACTCGACTATGTCCCCTCCAGGCTCAAATTCCTCTGGCTTTGACTAAGCAAACCTGTACTAGCAAATTCCAATTCTCCCAAGAGCTTCTGAGTGTTGGTGGGTTTTTTAAAAAGAGACTTGTGTAGGAGTCTGGATCTATGGCCTCTTCTTGTTCCTCTTTACATTCTACATTCATTTACCTAAGTTTTATATATGCCTGATATTGTAAGATAAATAAGATGGAATGCATCTCATAAATTATACTTTTCAGATGCAGCTGGTCCTGTACTTAAGAAACAATTGATCCTAAGATACCACACCTTTAATAATAGGTTCTGACTTCTCTAAAAACTTCCTGGTAAGAGGTTATCTCTTAGATTTGCCTACCTGAGTTAAAGTCTTGGATTTCTTGAAAGCTTGGTGGTTCCTATTAAGAAAAAGAGGAATACTCCAGGTGTAAAGGACCATACCACTTACAGTTCCAGGAAGAACGGAGCATGGTGGCACAGGCCTGCAATGCCAGTACTTTGGGGAACTTAGGTAGGAGGACAGTGAGTTTGAGGTCAGTGTGAGCTATACTATAAGTTCCAAGGCAGCCTGAAACTCATAGCATGACCAGTGTCTCAAAAGAAAAGGAGGAGGAGGAAGAAGAGGAGGAAGAAGAGGAGAAGAAGGAGGAAGAGGAAGAGGAAAAAGAAGAAGAAGAACGCTCAGTATCAGCAACACTAAAACAAGGCTTAATATTGGCAGGCATGGTCTCTTTCCTCAAATGACAATAGATAACCAAGAGAATGGGAATGAGAATATGTGAAAATATTTGACAGCACGGCCAAGACAGAGCTTGCCTATTTGTTTTTTGTTTTAAATAAATTATTGAGAATTTGATACATGCATATAAAATATTTTGATCAAATCCATGGCCACTCCCTCCCCTCCAACTCCTCCCATACCTCCCTATCACATCTTTCTGATAACTTCATGTACTCCTTCTTTTATTTATTTCTTTATAAGGCTTTTAGCTACACTAACATTCCCCCCTCTGAAGAAGTAACCCTAAAACCTTTTAAGGATTAGATACAAGCTCCCAAATACTTTTGACATTTTTGGCCTTTGGAACAGAGTATGTTGCTAAGAGGCCCAAGGACATTTTGACTTTTAGCCAAGAAACTGGCTACTTTTCTTTGGAGTCTTTTTACCCTAACCTGCCTAGCCAATTTCTACCTCCCGTTCTCATCACTTTGGTATATGGATGCCATCAATTTAGAGGCAGGAATTTCTTTCATGTCTCCTTGTCAAGGAGGTAAGTACATATTGGGAAAATTCACAATTCTTTCATGTCAAGTGGTAAGTACTTATTGGGAAAATTCATACAACAAAAAATTATAATTACAAGTTCTAGACAAGGAACCAGAGAAAAATCAGAACAGGGCAAATTTCAAATGTTCATATAAGAGTCCATTGGAATTTCTTGACAAGGGCTTCCAAAAACATCCCTCTATTGGGTTCCTCCTCATTTTTCTTTTGTCTGCCAAGGCTGGACTCGAGAATGACTTCACTTGGAAGCATGAATGAGATGGACCTCATCCTCTATATATCATAACAAACCTACACAGACCTTCATCACTTGCTTAAGCTTTCTCATTTTTTTTTCTATTTTGGAAAATATCTCCATTCCCATACCCTATCTTTTACATTCTCATTTTCTTTCTTTCTTTTTTTTTTTTTAATAATTATGAGACATAATAGCATTAACAAATAAATTTTCCATCTGTTGTAAGAATTCTTTTTCTGGGGATACTAAGCAATGCTTATTCCCTTTTAAGGTTCTAGTGTCAAGCCAATGTTTGATTAAAGTTTTACTGGGGAACCAATGAATTTACTGAGCTTGCTTATGGAGATAACACCTCAGGGGTTGCTGAGGTGTATGGATGACCTGAGGGTATGCACACCAGAAAGCCTTTACCCAGCATGGATCATGCCTTCTCTTCCTAGCCTTCTCCAGATTGTGTACTTTAGCCCTCCCCAAATCCAGGAGGCCATGTGTGATTAGGGC